GTGGGATACGTCAATCGCCTATTACTTGTAATGGTCACACACGACCAGTTGTTGACCTTAAATTTGCTGGTGATACCGACTGTGGTCCATTACTTATTACGGCCTCTAAAGGTATGCTTTTTAGCTAGAATGTCCATTTTTATCATTCAATATTACTTTGACTTAACCTCATCCTTTTTTAGATGGTAAGGCCATGCTAAGAACTGGGGACACTGGTGACTGGATAGGTACCTTCACTGGTCACAGTGGCGCCGTATGGTGTTGCACACTAAATGCGGAGGGAACACGTGCCGCCACAGGTGCCGCAGATTTCACTGCGAAAATATGGGACGTCACTTCCGGCCACGAACTTCTAAACATTACCCAAGATCACATTGTTCGAGCTATTGACCTCTCCGCCACTGATGGTGGAAAGCGGCTTTTGACTGCTAATAATAAACAACAAGTGTTTGTGTATGACTTAGAATCTCAAGGAACACGTGAGTAAAATTACTCAGGATGTTTTGCTTTGTCACTGCAAATTATGCATTGCCTCTTTCTCCTTTTAGCTGTCACTTCCTTTCCGGGCCATAAGAAGACTATTAGGCGGTGTTTATGGGTTGACAATGATAAGCGAGCCTTGACTATCACCGATGAAAAAATTATGAGGTCAGTGTGTCTTATTTATTTGAAGGCTCGTGTCGCTTGCTTGCTTATTACTAGAGCGCCTTGTGTCACTTTTTGTGACTTGTCTTTACGCCTCCTAGAATGTCAACATGGGGATTTACTATTACCGTGAATTGATCGGTTAACCTTGGACCTCTTTTATATCCATGTGCCTTGGACATTGACCGACTAACCCGTTTGTACATGTTTTTTATATAAATTGACGCAGCAAATTTTTACGTTTAACCCTTTCGTTTTACAAATTAGAACCATATTTTTAATCAGGGTTTCTGAAGTATCCTAAAACTGACATTTTTAGCTTATGGGATGTCACATCGAGTGGAATGTCAGGAACTGCTCAACCTGCTTGGCAGATCACTCTAAGCGATTGCCCAATGGACGTTCAACTCTGGTCTTGTGGCGATTCCGTCAAAGGCATTGTCGCACAAGGAAAACTCGTGCTAGTCTATGATTTCGATTTCCGCGCTCCCGACATGACTGCACCACAAGCTCCCACTCTCAAGGCCGTCATGCCTTCTCCCATGTACACTGCCCACATGAACCATCTTGGCAATATGTTTATCTGTGGTGGTGAAGACAATCTTCTTTACCGGGTCGATGCCAACTCTGGTGAGATTTTAGGTAAGTTGTTCCTGAAATCCTCCAAGGCCTCAGTTATATGAAAATATTTCACTTTATCAGTGTCCTCTATTTAAATCAGAAAACGCGGGTACGTTACAACTAAGCCGCCTCCTAGGAACTCCTGCAACAGCAGCTTGGCTAGATTTGCATAGCTAGATGAGTAGAATCATAATCCCCTGATATTTGTGGGACGAGAATCTTTCGCGCTCTGAATTTTGACAGATGCAATGCTTTCGACTTATGTACTTCGGCTGTCGAAGATCCAGGTGCTAGAATTATGTCATAATTGGTTTGACAGAGCTACGCGCATTGCTCTTTTTCTGTAATTTGATAAGTTTTTGAGCCACTCTGTGCACTATTTCGAATGACCTCGTTTTTTGTATAAGACAGAACTTGATCACCTAGGTTATCCTGCCTGGTCGATATTTAAGTCCCGGGCACAAAGATAATAGCGAAGTCAAGTAACTAGGCCATTTGTTCGTTCCACCCAATGCTATTCCATTCAGCACTTCAACTACTTAAAATCCATCTTTTGTAGCTACCAGCTTAACATATCTCTTATTCTAGAAACGTGTCGTGGTCACTTCGGGCCCGTTCATTGCGCCCGATTTTCGCCTGATGGCCGCCTGTTCGCCAGTGGCAGTGAAGATGGGACCGTGCGCCTCTGGCAGACTGAGGCTGGGGAATCTTATGGTCTCTGGCGATTGTCGGAACCCTCTGCCCCACTTGCCAATAACTCTCCTCAACCTGTCGCTGCGGGTCTTTCGTGAAGAGTTCCCCTTCATCCCTTCCTCCACTAGATCCGCGACGAGTGTTTTGTAATTGTTTGTAACTGCGGTCTGCCGTGGACCCTGTTTTGTCGTATTACCCTTAAGATTTGTATACTCAAATAAGCCATTTGTATCCTTTTTATTTGTTGTGCGGTTGGGCTCATTTACTGTCTTGAATCATCACAACATCAAGTACTTGTCAACATAATTGTTCTCATGATGCCCGAAACCTTTGAAAGTCAATTCGGTCATAGAAATTAACAGAAAGCCTGCAGTCTCATTCCGGATAGCGGATTGCTCGCAACCCTCGATGGTATTAGAAGGGAGTAAGGAGAAAATCAGTAGCTAACTAGTATTTGTAGTGCGTTCAGCAACTGCGCTTCTTCAAATGTGAGTACAATCCAAGACAAATGAGTCGTGCTGATCAGTAAAGGGTGCCCAAATACAAAGTCCAAAAATAAATCTTTTTGGGCAGAGTAGAGATGCCTTCTGAACTAGGTGCTGCTGTGTTTTAGGGCGGGAAAGGTCACTGATATCTCACGAACTCACGAATTAGTCGTCATTACAGGTTTGTCAGCAAAGTGGTTTGGTTTGGTTTTTACAGAGAATTAAAGTCAAGTCCCTCGGGGGATAATTACCGTTTATATGAGACAGGGAGTACCTCGTCTAATTTGTTATCTTGCCATGACAGGATCCGGGGACAATGTGTTAGTCTCAGTTAGCAAAGGTATGCAACACAACCAAAATTTGAATCTTAAATTACCTGCACATTATTCTGACCGGTGTCCTGGCGTAGTTCTTCCCCTGCGCAATTTAATTTATGTGCTCAGCGGCTTGGTTTAAAGGTATCAAGTTCGGTAGCTTGTTGAATGGCCATAACTAACTTATTCGGCAACGGATAGCTGACTTTTGAATGCATGCTGAAACTTCTTAATGGAAGCGAGCTAGAGGGGCAATTCTGGCCTGTAACGCGGTGCTGCTCAGAGTATTATGACTTCATCTATGCTCTAGAGGGGGGTCGTTCAGTTACAAATTAAAAGCTTAACGAAGCATCACGTAGTTAGAAATTAGCCATCGACCAAATCAGAGCAGCCATCCGCAATTTTTGAGAGGTATTATTTGGTATACTGTGATATACTTAAAAATTTTAGGCAGCATGGCATCACTTATTTTATTAATCGCAAAAAATCAATGCTTTGTTGCATTATGACCAATATTTTGGCTGTTTCATTTCAGTAATTGTGATGCTCGCATTGGTAATCAGTTTGGTGCTGATGGCGTTAGGAGTTCGTTTAATTTCCGGTAAACAAATGAACTTGTAGACGCTTAGATAACCAGTTTTAAAAGGAATTTGGAACTTTAGCAAAGACAAAACCTACTTAAGGCTTAAAATGAATTTGACAAAAGACGAATGGCAATCCTTAAGCAGGCGATTTAATACAAGGTTTGGAGTTAGCATTATCACTAAACTGTTTTTGATGGGTGTTGGTCATCTCGATGAAAGTCGTTTATTTGTATTTCCATTGTTTCAGTCAATTAAATCAGTTCCATTAGGCACATGGTATGCAGTCGACATAGACTCGTTCTCAAGTAGTACAGTCCTCAGCCTCAGAAACATGACAGTAACTGCATCACTTAGGCTGAGAGATTCTGTCGCCTACTCCCATGTCGCTTCAGCTATCGTCGACGGAGTTTGGGGTATCGCGCTCAAATGTGGCCTATATACTTCTTTCTAATCCCTGTAACATTCACGTATAATTGAGTTGTAAGCAGTGTCTGAAACGTGTCATTGATGCTGTTGTGAATCGTGTTTGTACACACTCCTTAATCCGGTCGCTCCATCCTCCGACACAGGGTCCCTCTCTTCGCAGCATGTCGCCAGCTGCGCGGATCCTCAACTCCCCCCCTCATTCACACGGATATTTGTCTTGGATTATCCTCACACTTAGGCCTCGATGTTAGCGCATGTATGACTCACACATGTTGGGTATAAATACACACGCCCAAGCTCCACACACGACACTGACGACGATTTCGTCAAGTTCTTGAATAAACGGTTGACTCTCTGTCCTTCCGCAGACTTCATCCTTGTTGGGTAGTTAGTGGCATATGACGTCGCAACAATGCAATTCGCGGTGTCAATTATTGAAGTAACCCGCCAGTAAATACGAGAAATGCATATTTCGAAGTAAAACAACAGAACGTGAAATTTTGAAAACTCGCCACTTTTGAGATACTCCTAAATGTAACCAAGAACGATTCATAATTGGGCCATGCTGTTCAATTCTTACTATTACATTTGCTAGGATGCAAAACTGACAATCATTCCACTTCATTTAAGTCATCTTTCTTGTTTGGAAAAAATTCACAGGGTGGCTCTTGTGTCAAAAAGACCTTGGCAGCTATTTTTTGACACAGTCATTTCGAAATCTCTATGGCGAATCCAACAGTCATCCACTTTTCCAGAAAAATTATTTCACAGAATTGACTTTCGAATTTAGATTACTGTGATGGGAAGTTAGGAAAGAGGGAATCAACGAATACGGATGCGACTAGATGTTGGCGGCTTCTCCTTAACTTGTGCTGCTGCCTTTTCGTACACTCTCAAGTAAATGAGGTCATTGCAGGTTACGACTGTAAAAAGGACAGTGGCGAATGCATAGGACAAGCCTCCTGGTTGTAAGCAGCTCCAGTTTCCTGGTAAAAAGGCTTATGCTTCGTGTGGTAGGCTATATTCGACCACGAATGAAGTGACTAACATACTTGTGCATGATGATCACTTAATGCACAGAGAGGACTGGTCAAAATTAAATGTCATATTGAGGGTTGTTTCATATCTGATGCAGCTTGTACACAGATTTGATTCCCTCATATTCATATTTTGAAGTCCGTGTATGGAGTGGAGGGAGGTGCATTTAAATAGTTATAGAAACTGCATAGCAGAATTGTGGCTATGCACAATCCAGGCCCGAGTGGCATGGCAAATTCACTGGAAGGCAGAGTGTAGAAGGCGTGTTAGAAGGCAGAGTGTAGGATTTGTGGTAAATGTTGGAACAGACTATGGGTAAGTAATTGAATGGAAGATTATTCGGAAGGCTTGAGCGAGAACGAGAACAGAATGAATGACCGGAACGTGTACTTTGTCGAAGGGAAAGAAGGTTCCGTAAAGGTAAAGGTTTTGGCTCAATAACATTTACCGGCTCCATATGAGGTCAGGTTGAAGCGTGTTAAAGTGAAAAATGGCAAGTGGATTTAATAACTGTCAGGTAGTGAAGTGGTAGAGTTAAAATATGGGTATTATTGGGTAGTTTGAAATAGTGGTGCGTGGAAAAGTTCTGTGGCAGGTTAGAATACCTCAAGGTGATTACAACCAACTGGGAACGAAACGAGGAAGGACTGTAGAAATTCTAGATTGCATTGAAGGCCAGTAACATTGGTTTGCAAGAATCGTTGGACTGGATGGTCAAAAAGTCTGCGAACGGTTATTTGATTCTAGCTGGAAGCTAATTGAGAATCTGGCAACATCAGGGATCTTTTGGATAGTTTTAGACAGACACCGCTTCAAAATGCCATTTATGGGTTTGGAATGGCTGATTTGGCCTCATTGCAAAACGTTTTTGTTGGGGATCCAGGATTCCCCAGGATGGCTCATAGCGGATTTCGTTGTTGTTCACATTAATCCTCTAACCACGCCACTCCAGCGGGTGAGTCACCAACGTCACCATCCTGACAGCCATCTGTGTTAACCCGTTTTCATTCATCAGATCAAGGTCATCCTTGACTTAAATGAGTGTTCACTTTTTAACATCGCTCTCCCTTTAGGTGAGACGATTAAAGGTCTCCTCAAAGGCTCTGGTCTTGTCTTGCATTAGCATCAGAAGGGCGATTCTGACGTCAGACAAAGAATCTGGTACCGTTTAGCTGAGTGAATTACTCTTGGTTACAGGCAAACGGAGAAATTTCGCAACTGAATTCAAGAGTTCAATGGTGTGCTCGTGTACCACGCCACTAAAAAGAGGCCTCTGACCTGTTTACGAAAATGAAATTGGGTATTTGTTGATTAGCGCTTTTTAATTGGAAAATATTCACGTTAATTCAGATCCTAATTCATCATTGGCACGTGTACTTCATGTGGTTTAAAAGGACATCGATCGACTATATTCATTTTGCTTCCACCTCCTTGGGTGGTTTAGTGAAAGTTTGAAGACAAATGTCGGAGGAACTAATCGAACCGAACACCAGCTGTTGCATGCCTTACTGCAACAATGCGTCACCAATTTATCCCGCTCACTTGATTAGGCCAAAGTGCGATCGATATGGTTGCCTGATACCCCTTAGACCAAAGCAATCTATTCGTCGAGATCACCCGAAAACCAAGCTTGGATACGATGCCTGCCAGATGCCAATGGCCCAGAGACAACGCTGTCCTTGCTGCATGTACAAAGAAGTGCCAGATTTGTGCTGCAAAAGGGTCTCCAAGTTCCCCAATCCTTGCAACTACGAACTGATGGACCAGCATCACAAGAGAATCTATGGAAAATACATGTCCCGTTTTGACGGTGTTTGTCGATTCTAGTTCAGGAAGGAGAGGTGATACTTTAAAATTTTTCTTTTGCTCTGTCTCTCAATATGAATGGCATATTTTTTAGAGATATGAGTTGGTCTACTAACTTGGATGAGTTTAGCGGGATGGTTTTCGTTCCTGATGGCCTGGGAGATGAATCGTGTTGCGACCAATTCTTGCTGTAAATGGGCTGTCTGTTTCAGAGGTTTACGACGAGACATTCACTAAAGTAACATGAACATGGATTTGTGCTTGCAGGGCAGCGCACAGGTTCTTTTATCAGGCACGTGTAATTTAAACTTGAATCGTCTAGTGTATCATTGTTATTCAAGGGAAAAAAATAACTGCAATGCTAATTTGAAAATAATGATTGCCAAACAATTTAATTCAAAAGGACTTCTGAATGTTTAGAATGGAAATTAAAATGTTTGCTCCTCTGCGAAATTTGCACTTAATGAATTTAATCAAATGTTTTAAGTGGTTGAGAATATATATCCCTTATTTTTGTATAAAGTCCTATGAGCTTTGATGGAAAAACTCAAACGTAACATCATTTTGAAGGTGTTTTCGCCTGGAAACTTATAATCTCTTAAAACCTTTGAGTAATTTTACCTGTTTGTAGTGTGCAAAAATTGGCCTTGTAAGAAATACAACCATTTAAAAACCGATTTCAATTGGTCTGTGCATGCTACCCAAATGTGGGATTAGGATAACGCAATTTATCGCATTTAAGCTTCAAATGTGTAGGTTTAATGTTACATTCATTGCTTCCTACCTTTCAACGGGCAAATCTAATGTAATTTTCCTTCATGTTATTAAAAAATCAACCTGGCTTGTTTAAACGAACTTAGTGAAACCAATAAACTGAAATAGCATAGTTAGGTTCGACTGATGTCCGATGCGACATCATCAGTAGTGCCTCCAAAAACTCGTTACCTGGATTAAATCGACATAATCCTAAGTTCTTAGTCCTGCTGAGAAATTAACTGACTAAAAACCGAATAGTGCTGCTCTACTAACCGGGAACGGCTACTTTGATTTGGGAGCTTGAACAAAAGTTACCAATCCGCAACTCTCCTTTTCTCAGCCTATCCAGAAAATCTAAAGGCACACGAAAGTGAAAAGCGTGATCAAGAAAAACTGAATTTGAAGGCAGAAATGACTTTGGAATTTAGATGTCATTTCAAGCGCTTTGAGCGCACCGTGAGCACTCTGTCGGGTGGTAGCCTAGATCGTGCTAACGAGTTCACCAGCATCACTTTCCTCGGAGCCTTTGGAAATAATTTATTCTCTTCGTCAACTTTACCTTGCTTGTTAATCGGCTTTAGTTGGTTGCCAGTATTAGTGTCCGTGCCTCTCCAACTGCAGTCGTTAAGTGTGTCTGACTCGTTAAATGGACTTTCCCTTCCCTCCTGATGGTGGTCATGGGTGATGGTCTTCTTAACTTTACCGGATGGACTGATAAAGTGAAAAAATGAAAGCGGCCAATCACCAGATAATTTGACAGCCCGTTTCACATGATTCTTTTTCTCCTTAGTGAAATTTTTCTCAACCTTTAAGATGGTTCGAGACCAGAGGGCCTGGAGCTGCTTTTCGTAAAGCTCTTGTGCACACATACTTCCATCAAGTGAATTTGAATGGCGGTTAACCTCGTCTATTGAACAATGTTTTCCGATTCCGGATTTTGCTAGCTCCTCCAACTCATTCAGCAGAAACCTCTCATAATTTTCCAAATTATTTCTAAGATCCACCGTTTCATAGCTGTCCCGCTCGGAAAGTGTTTCTACAAGCTGAGTTTTCAGCGTCAGTGGTCTATCGGACAGTGAGGAATTTCGGGTCCTGTTAACAGCTAACCGTCGAAATAGCCCCTCATGGAAGCGATGAAAAAGATTGGTTCCACAAAGCCAAGAAACCATCTTGCAGGATGCACTTGCGGTAATCAGCTGACTATGAGTTGCAAGGATCGATAAATTTATGCTTGCGAAGAAGCAGGTTAAACCAAAATACATGTGATTTAAATAAAGCTTAACATTAAATCTGACACCGTTAGAACCCCGTGGTAATTGCAGGAATGGCGTCAGAAATTAACTGTGACCGGTAAACAAGCTGTAAAGGTCAAACCGGTTGGATCATGCTCAGTTAGACGTTTCAGTGACGACAAAAGCCATTGTAAATTGTCTTAATTTGTGTCTGTCACCCCCGTCTTCGTAAGCCGCGTCTCTCGTTCAACCTCTGTACTTTTTCGTCCTACCCAAACCTGCGATTGATCAACTATTGGTATTTTACCTTATCTTCGATCTGACATCTTTTTACTGCCACAAACAGCCATTTCCCTCTTGTTCACGAATGCGTCCTCAAAGAGTGTTCGGTCCTCTATGTGAACGTGACGCACTTAGCTGTCTAGTAAACTGCTGTGCCTTACTCGTCTGGTCGTCAACTCTGGCAACTCTGTGCCTATCTTGGCGCAACAACATAACCTGCTTGCTCTTTAGTTATGTAGCGATAAAACCAGTTAATTTGTAAACGTTTTCTCGCGGAGCTGCACAGGACTTTGACAACCAGACTCAGGGTTGCCTCAATCATTTTTACCGAGGCTGGAGCAAGATTCTTTTCGGAAGCTAAATTATAAAATCTCGAACAACTTGCTTCTATGCATATTCAAAGCAGATCGGAGTAAATTTAAACCCAAAACATAAACAATGAACTAAATCAGAGATTCAAGTACATTTTTTGTACTTTTTGCTCGGAAGTACCTACCCGGTAATCACTTTTGATGTATTTTTAATCTGCGTTTTTCGTATGGCCGTCTTATTGAAAAAAAATACTCTAGAATCGCATCGCATTCCCTGAAGACGCCTTCTAATAACCTGATCTAGATGCAAGCTTGTTTTGTTTTCTGATGCAGCAGATATCGGACGCAGAGTAAATGACGGTGGCTGGGTTTCTTGGCATGAAAAACATCCTGGCTTATTCATTTTGGCTTTCTCACCATAACAAACACACTTGAGATCAAGTAAATTGAGACCAACCATGGCAACACGGATTACCCTTCAGTTAACTTGGGTTCGAATAATGTAAACCAGTGATTTCTCCAGGCCAGCGGAAATTCTCAGCCGCCTAACGTTGCCTGTAATAAAAATGGGTTAAGTAGCCTGCCAGTAGCGACGTTGTCATGGTCTACTTTGTCTACCAACATTCTCTTTTGCAATTCGCAATTGTGGAATTCGTGTTAGTCATGGGCAATTCCCCCCCCCCATTTGGGACATATGGATCGTAAACTTGGTTTACACATTATTAATGGTCTGTCCACTAGCTATTTAAAATTGTGGGTTTCTCGTGAATTCATCGGTTCCAAAAGTAGAGTGGACTAAGGATTTGATTACATCACCCCGGAAATCTCTCGGCTCTAGATGGCACACTTAGTTGTTTTTTTAAAATATTTCTGGTTTTTTATGTTCTTAAGACATTAATTACATAGCTGAGTTCCAGAGAATGCTTTCAGTCCTTACCCGCCAATAGTGGCATTACCAGTAAAAAACTACACGTATTAGACCGATAACAGCTAACTATTTATTCGACTGCCTTTCAAAAACATCGAAAATCTCATTTTAATGGATTTACTTTATTAGACACAAATAAACTTTCCAATTTACAAGAAACCAATAAATGAAAAATTTCCATGGAATTTACACAAATATAAGGGACAGTATTCAATGAAGTCACACTTGTGAAAGTGAACTGAAAGATAATAAAGTTCGTGAAATTATTAGCACTGATTTTCAATCCATGCATTTGTCTGTTGGCAGCAGGGTGGTTGACAGTTTTGGGGGCAGAGTTGAGCACAATTTTGAAGGCAGGCTTCATCGTCATTTGGTAGGTTACCAGTTGGAGGCTGAGCGCAAATGGCGAATGAGTCGATGTAATCTTCGTAGAGCCTTTTGTGACACGGCGAGCAAGGATCAAAGGCGCAACCATCACGCTTAATCTCCGAGGTCCTAAAATCGTCCATCGGATTCTGTCGACAACCGCAGCAGGGGCACTTTGGTCGAAGAGCTAGGGGCATCTGGTCTGCGTCGTATCCCAGTTTTGTGATGCAAATAAAGGTGCCTGGTACTGCGCAATCGTTCTGTGGCACATTTTTACCATTGTCAAATAATGGGCGTTGTCTGGGACAGAGGTCGGAACATTTGGCCATTCCGTTTGATTTCCAATTTATTTCAATGGGCCGGCCAAACCCCTTTGCTGCAAAGAAATGTTGGACTGCAAATTCACCCGAGGATCGATCCCTGAGTTTAAATCATTCTCGTGAAGGTAAACCACGTTGCCTTGATATTACGTGATGTTGTGCGTGGATGCATCGTGTTTGTGTGCACGTGCTTGCCTCTGAATGGAGTTTCTCAGTTCGGTTGGAATTTTCGGCAAAAATGCAAATCACTAGCTGGGGAATATTGTGCTCAATTTTATCGACCTAAACCTTTTAAAATGTGCTCTTTTAAAAATGCACAGGAACTCGGTGTGTGGGTGTTAATTTTTTTTACTAGAAGTCTAGCATCAAAGTCAAGTTTTCTGGTGATGAAGAACCAACTCCCTTTTTGTCTTCGCTAATAAGTTTTGTACAACAGAGCAGTGCAAATAAATAATTGGCCATTTTAACATTTCACTTCCCTTGAAATCGGAATTACTCGTTACTAATTAAGAGAACCCCCATAGGAACTCAAGATGATAAGTTATTTTAGGCGTTAGAATCAGGTCATAATGGCTCGTACATGAAGGCTTTTTGGTGAAACAGGTTTATCTTCGAATGAGGAGTCTGCTCAAGTCTCAAAACAGTTCACTGGTTCGCACATGCCACCGCATGTACGTACACACACACACAAACCCTCGGTGTAGTGGTAAAGTATGCCTCATAAACGGAAAAATGGAGTACAGCCAAGTCGTGGTCCCTAGGGCTAGACGGGTAGCTGCGATGACATAAAACGTCAATAAAATCAGCTGCAATGCAATATTGCCACTAAACATAGGTACTGCGACCGGGAGCAAAGATTATAGACAGTGTAGGAAAGTTTACGATTGTAGCAGATTCGGCAAATCTCTGAGTAATTGTTGAAGAAATAAAATCTCTAATAAGCAACGCTGCAATATCTCTTTTGATTGATTGTCATACAAAATACTACTCAGCCTTCCTGCACAGTTATTAAGTGCTGCTTTGCTTGCTGGATTTTATTAAATTAGATTGGTTCGAAAGATTTGGAATGGTTAAATGCACATGGCATCTCAGCAAATGTCATAATACTGCAATTCGAATTTAAATCGCTAAGTACGCTTGCATTAAGTGGTAAATGTTGTAAATCTCGGCTTTCCCATGTGTTACTTCCAGCCTTTGACTCCACTTAAATGCGAAATATAATGGGTGTGAAATATTAATAACCATGACAAGTTGCCTGTCCACTCTGCTAATAGAAACCTGGATTCGCCAAGCACGTGATTTACATCAAGGCTGTCATTAAACCAGCGTGATTTAATGGGCCTCTGATTGGTTTAAAGTTGCAACGTGTTCAAAGATCGATTTGACCCTTGTGAGGGTTGCCGTCGTGAGGTTTAAGACAGGGTACCGGGAGCAATTATTAAAGCGCTTACAATGTCCGGTTTTTGTGGTGGCACAAGTAAGTTATATACTGGATTCTTCTCACTATTCTAGACCCGGTTCTCCCCCCACAACAACTGTGTTGTGAAACCTTCGGACATCTCTTTCCCGTCAAAGGGGGACACAGAGAGCCCGAGCCGCACCATGTGACTAAACTTGGGTACGACGCTTGTCTCCTACCGGAAGTTCAGCGTCAGAAGTGCCCATGCTGTGGGCATCGTCAAGTGCCAATTGAATGTTACGCAAGGGAAGATCGCCCATATCTGCCCTGTGGGTATGACCCAAAAAATATAGAACACAAGAAAATTTATGGAAAATACTTCGATAGATTTAATGACGTCTGTCCACAGCATTAGAGAAAAACAGTTTTGAAACAATCTGAGCACGCGTACGTTTGCTCTTTACCTGAGAAGGGATGCCTTCTTCTGTTCAACACACCATTTGTCAATGATTTACTGGACTACTTTCACTGTGAAAAAAATTTGAATAAATTCCTTTGCAATTAGCGTCCATTTGCACTCTTTGGCTCCTTGTATACAAAGCAGCTGCCAAGGAAATCCTTGGGCTTAAGAGTAAATCTACGGAGTGACAGAATTGCAAGACTGTTTTTATCAGCGCCTTAAAAATTGAATTAGAGGCTGATTTTTAAAGCTGTGCAAAGTTTTGAAGGGAAAATTATTTGCCAACTACTGGGCAGCAACATTAATGATTAAAAATTACAAGGCTTTAGCTTCAAACCTTCAACTTTAAAATTATACACCCACGACAATTCTTCAAAATCATGATAAAAATATAGTTCTGCGGCCACGTTTCTAACAATCAAATAAATAAAGGCTCTACTAAAAGGTTAGGTGCAACGGGATTGTCTAGTGTGAATTGAAAAGTATATAGCGACTTTCCTAAATGGGGGTTGATCCTTGACATTCAGTCTTTACTTCGTTTCATTGTGTTGTGAAGCATCGATTAAAACCGAACGGTCTACTCTACACCCACCAAAATTGTTCTTTCAAATAATTATTGCATTTAAATGAAACTTAGTAATAAATCAATAAACTAATTTGCTGTAATTTGAGTTTCGTTGGAATATGTGCTGTAAGTGCCTAACGATTATGCTTCGGTAAAGGAATGGAATCGCCTCTAAAGAAATGCGGAAATCAAAAGTCCACAATGAGCATTCTTGTTAAAAATACAGAGGCGATTGATAAGTAGTAAGTACAAAGCATCATAAACATAACCAACTGCTACGGGATGTGTATATTCAGTGGATCGTTATAAAAGGCAAAGCTGAGGTTTGTGCTGGTAAGTATAGCATAAATTTAAAAAATTTCCGATTTACTGATAAAAGTAAAAATGGGATATTTTTAAGTGTCATATGAGCATAAGTATTAGGTTTACCAGTCTACATTAACTATGATTTAGACCTAATATTATAAGTGAGTCATTAATAAGATATAGGTACTCTTCCACAGAAAGGTTAAAATTGCACATAATTGATGAAATAAAACATTTATATGCAATTCAGTTTCAAAAGTCACGATTAATGTTTACTAATTCATTCTGAAAGCTGCATCTGTGGCTGATGACTTAATTAGTTCAGCAAATGGAGGTGACGCAATGTTTTTCAACAATCATCACAAGCATCACCGAAATTCAATACATTGGCTATTCGAGATGGACGTATGCTGCTCAAATAGGCAGACAAAGGTAAAGCTACTCTGTGCAGCTGTATAACATGTGTAACGTGGAAGCAAGGCTTGGATCGAGGCATAAAGAGAGACTAGACTGGACACCGGTCCAGCATTTCAGCCCTCATGCAGGCGATCCATTATACGTGAACGAAGAAGATGGTAGAGACCCTGTGGTTTTCTGCAGATTATGATTACAGGATAAGAGTAGGGAAAATAGTCACTAAAGGGACACTCGGTTTCCTGTTCGTCCAGCCTGAGAAATGAGTAGGTCTGCAAAAGTGAAAATATACATATAAAGATATCAGGAATGTCGTGTGGCATGACAAGTGGTTAAATATGACAAAAAATCTGAAAACTAAACCACTAACTGCAATTTAAATCGAGATTGCGCAATTATTATTTGATCAAGTACAATAATCACTTTACACATTTTGCTTGTGACTCGTGTTGTGTCAGGTGGAACATTGCAGCGGTTTTTGATAATGGTCAGTCCGGCGTCCCTACGTCGATTCCAACATCCACTCAAGTTTCCATAAATGTCTCAGAAAACTGTGATAGGAATTTATGAAAGAGGAAATCAACGAACATTGGTGCAACATGATGCCAGCGGCTTCTCTTCAAGTCCTGAAGCTATACATTCGTATATCGTTTATATATCGAATCCAACAGTCATCCACTTTTCCAAAAAAATTATTTCACGCAATTGACTTTCGAATTTAGATTACTGTGATGGGAAGTTAGGAAAGAGGGAATCAACGAATACGGCTGCGACTAGATGTTGGCAGCTTTTCCTTAACTTGTGCTGCTGCATTTTCATACACTCTCAAGTAAATGGGGTCATTGCACGTTACGACTGTAAAAAGGGCAGTGATAAAAGCACAAGACATGCCTCCTGGTTAAAAGCAGCGTCAGTTTTCTGGTAAATAAGTGCTTATGCTTCGTGTGGTTGGCTATATTCGACCACGAATGAAGTGACTAACACTAGTGTGCATAAAGCGAAGACTAGTCAAATGTGAATTTCACATGGATGGTTGGTTAATATCTGATGCAACTTGTACGCAGATTTGATTCCCTCATGTTCATAGTTTGAAATCCGTGCATGAAGTGGAGGGAAGTGCATTGAAAGAGTTATAGAAACTGCAAAGCAAAATTGTGGCTATGCACAATCCAGGCCTGAGTGTCATGGCAAATTCACTGGAAGGCCACATTGGTGAGTCACGTTCGTGGTTTGTCTTCCTATGACTGGCCATTTCAAATAAGGTGGTGTATTTCGAAAAATGCCTTCCACTGAGACCATTCTCTCGTGTCATATCCCACTCCTTCGTTGTGTTGTGAATTAAGTGAAAAATAAAAGTTGTGTAATTATGCAGGATCGTGTTAACAATGAAAACATGTGAACAAGGTGGTGAAACGTCATACTAGATGCTGGCTTCCTCAACAGTTGGCAAAAAAGGATTTTGGATTTTGGCTGTAAACACGAGCCTCTGCTCAGTGGACACCAGACAGAGACAGGTCAGAATGTAGTGGGAGCTGTAAAAGAGTCTGAACGTGAGTAGCCCCAGGACGATGTTGTCAGAATCTGTATAATAATTGGCGGAGGGACTACCTGAATGCAGTATATGTCATGTGCTTTCTTGCTAATAATATTTTCTGCGTATTCATTAGGTAATTTTAAAGGACCTGCTGTAAAGCGCAAACGTTTTAGCAGCATATTTTTACTGCAGCAGGTAAGCTGCTTGAAATTTTTGATAAAGGACAAATACAAATTGCTTACCAACTACTGATTTTTACTGCTGAAATCGAAGGTTTGTCGTTAACCGTTATTTATGCATGTAACAATAAACAAAAATCGATATCTAGCAAGGCATAGTTCGAGAGTATATGTAATTGGGTAAATCCTTAAGGTCACATTATGCTAACACTTTTACTTGTTGTTTCTTCTATATCCTACATCAAATTATTAAATGCGGCATAATTGAAATTGGTTATTAAACGTGTGTGTATGTGTCAAATCCGTTTTTTGGTTTATGGAACTTCAATTTGTTAAATCCTTTCGTCAAGTCTAACTTTCATCTTTTAAATTAATTTTAGATATTACTACTTTAATGCAACATTCATTTACTTACCATTACCGCCTTGTCAATGTCACGTTTTTCATTTTAGTGTTTTATCAACATTTTGTGAAGTCTTTTTAATAAATCATAAGGATGTTGCAGTTTTAGTTTGTCATTTTTTTCATGTAGGTTCCTGTTTATTTGTTTGTTGTGACACTACTTAATAAAAACTTATCTCGAACTGTGGAGTAATGCTGGAGTTTGTCTAGCGTAACTCATTAATTTAGAAATTTTCTCGGGTTTAACACAAAAGTAATTTTATGTTATCTATATTAGCAACGTTTTTCTCCGGACAGGATTCTTATGTAAACTTAAAGATTTCCCTATTTGAAATACCTTATCGTTTTACCTGTTTTGTGTACTTGAAGAAACAATTTTCGCCTTTTCGCTATTGTTTGATTGCCTTTGACATGACTGGTGCTGAAGCCAGATACATTTTTCAGTACTCTTAATGAATCATTTGATATGGCGTTGTGAGTATTTTGGCAAGTCTTAAATGTTAGAAATCGAATTTGTCTAATTAGTTGTTTTGAATGGTCTTCCGTTCAACTGTCCCATGTATCCCTAACTAGATTGCCTTCTGCCAAGAATTACCGTTCGAATTTTTTCGTTAATATTAAGGTTAAAGCACATTCATGATTACCATTGAGTACTGTGACACATTCATGACTTGACTAGGCAGTATTCTTCTCATCTATTTTGCCACCATAATGCTGTAAATGAAAGCCTGCACGTTTAGGTACGTCTGAGCCTAAATATGTTTGAAATTGACTTTTTTTGTTTGTGTCAATCTTCTTGTTATGGGATTTATACACAGTTCCAGAAATGTACGCTCTAATTATCCCTTAACTGACCCAACCGCGTCGACTTTAAGTTTTTGTTTTTTGTCCAAACTAAGCTTATTTAACAAGTTGTTTGTTGTTGGATTTCATATAATCAAATTCCTCAGCAGGCTGTCTCTCCCGAGGCAGAGCTGTGATCTTTACCACGTAACAAAAGTACCAAGTTAAGCATCTTTTACCGTAGATTATGAACGCCGATGTGCTTAAGCAAATTCAGCCTACCGACAAAGTGGTTGTGATCTGGGGTACCTCTGCCTCCCAGACTGCTCCCTCGAATGCCGATATGCAGTCTCTGCTCGAAAGTCTGAAGTCTACCGTTACTGGTGGTAGCGTTCAACTGGAAAATTTCGACATCCTAACAAATAGCTCGGCACCCCTAAACGCCGACATCATTTTAAGTGGGTGGCCGGCCCCCTTCCCTTTTGGCAAACACGATTTTACATATTTTTCTCAATTGGTTGTCAAGATGCCAGCTGGCGGGCGATTGATTGCTAGGGAAGTGTTCGAAGGAGACTTGGCCAAAGCCGTGGAAAGAATTCGGAAGGCTGCTGTTCTTGGTGGCCTAATCAATATCAAATTTGTGGGTTACCTTGCATTTGTATTTTTGTTAATTTTATTACCTTACCCTATTTGGTAATAAAAAACTGTAAGTTACCGAAATTTCACATAAGTCTTACGACTTATGGCACGTGATTTTCACCGGTAGCAATAACTCTGCCATCTGTCTATAATTACAATTGGTTTGTACCGTTGTAAGATTGTTATGCTTTTAATTATCACACCAGACCGCTCATCGAAATCGATATTTGTAAGCTTTGATCTCGTGTAAACTATTTAGGTTCTGTAAGTAAAATACAATGTTGGCTTTATCATGAATGGCGCGCAATATTCTTCTTTGCATGTTTCCACATTTAAAAACGAAGCATTCGAATATAAAGGCAACCTGAGCCATCATTAGAAATTCATAAAATCTAGTGCAATTATTTCCAAATAGCAGCAAAGCTCTCCCCAGATTATCACCACACCTATCGCAGTCCGTTCCAGTACCTTTAACTGATGTTTGTCAGAATTTCAAGGCATCTTATTTCGTCAATATCAGTAAATTCAATCCAAAGCAATGATCATTTGAAACTAGGGCGGTACCACCATGGAAGATCTCCGTCTTGTGTCATACACTTGCTCACTTGTATAATGCTTCCAAGGAAGTAATTTTGTCACTTCAGATTGAATCAGAAAGTGGAATTATCTGCTTGAACGCCTCGACGCCCTCCACTTACCAGCTAGGAACTGACACCAAGCTTCCTTGGGCTTCTGAAATGGTTTCCGATGATGTATGGAAGGCCGTAGAATCAGAAGAAGGAGGAGGCAAACTAATCAACACCGAGGAACTGTTAACTGCAGCTGACCTCCAGAAGCCTGCAACTGCGCCCTGTGGAGAGCCCACTAATGACAGTAGTAGGAAGAAACGAGCCTGCAAAAACTGTACCTGTGGACTCGCTAAACTTGAGGCCGAGGAGGCTGCTAGAGATGCAGAAAAATCCGACACAGCAGCTGTCAAATCAGCCTGTGGTAACGTGAGTAATCTGTGCTATCAATCTACTCACTAATGGCCATCAATACTGAGTTTGAGATGTGCAATTCTCAAACTCCCGGCCAGAGTATTTGCTCCACGAACACAATTTAAGGGTCTCTTTTACATTGTCATACTTTTAGGCTATCACTTAACTACACAATAATGCACGGCTGTCTTTTTCATAGTCTATGAATTTAAGTGCAAGGAATGCGTAAAGTACAGCCAACCTAGTACAACGCTGTTCTACTTCCTTACGTATCGTAGTAATGCTTTGTGGAATTGCAATGCGACATTATTTTTCATTTTTAGTGCTACCTTGGAGACGCTTTCCGTTGTTCGTCTTGTCCTTACAAAGGATTGCCACCCTTCAAGCCGGGAGAACAAGTCGTCATTCCTAATGACTTGCTCTCTGCAGACATGTAATTGGCCACTTCACCAGTTGCTCTCACAACTTCGCTCGACACTTCGCACCCTAGTGTATATTCTGCACATTTGTCACCAAATTCATTCCATGTCGTTGAATACTATGCTGGCCTGAGAATCTCCTATCTGTTTCTACATTTTAGCGATACTCAATTGATTTGGGCTCACTGGTAGTCTTGTCGCGGCACGATACAACAAGAAGCACCCAGAGAAGGCACGGCATGAGGGAGTTAACCGTTTACTGACTGTCTCAACGCGGATGTGTTGTGCGTGCGTGCGCTCGCAGTAGTGCATGCCTCAAATAGTTATTGAGCAATAGCGTGGGTGAACTAAGTGACGCACGAATAATTAAATGTTCGAAATGGTTCAACAGATTGGCGGGGGGGGGGAAATGAAGCGTGAATCCAGATGGTCCTCCATGGCAGTATGTCGCGGACTACATTAGGCAGATTAACGGACGTGAATCGACGCAATCCACAGTAGTCATAAATTTGAACGCAGTCCCGTTGTAAAACCAACCCCCAGAAATGATTATTTCTGCTATTAGTGCCACAGTTACAGGCTTTTGACTCCTGGTTGAAGCTGATTCCCCGCTTGCCGTGTGCATTACAAACATTGACCGAAGCTCTCGAGTTGATGGTATCTTGACCCCTGTTTTTATCAGTCAACCACATATTAAAATGTGTTATAAACCGCGTCGCTTGAAAGCTGTTACAATACTGAAAGGCATTATTCGTAGTAGCACTAGCTAGATTTCTGTCATCGGAACCCCGATTGAAAGGAATAACTTTGGAATCCTCGCGAGTTTGTATGAACGAGAGTTAGGGAGCGAGGCTAATTGTTTTGGGGGCGCATGAACGTGGTTGTCCTCTGAATTACGCCCTACTGAAGACGGTGGCTTCTGAGTTTGATGACAAAGTATCGGAGTCGATTGGTGATTTCCTAACCCATAGTCCTCGAATAAAGACGGTAACCATCTGATTTCTAAAATATGCCGAGTTCGAGGTTCTATAGTTTCTGGCAGTGTAATTACAAGCCCTGACCGTTGCATGTTGACCTGATGTGTAACGCTCTAATTTCTGATCAAACAGAAGGATACGTGCTCAGTATCACGCGTTACTTCATGCCTGCCGCTGATGCACTCGTAGGCCCGTTTCGCAGGTTAGTGCGGTCGGAAAGCATGCAATGTAACCCGTTTTGCACATATTTTAGTCGACAATCTGATTCATCGACGATGGACCAGACTAACAGTGTCAATGAATAGATGACAATGATTCATTTGCTTGTATTTTAGTAGAAATAAACAAATGGTTTGGCCCAGTTCGGCTACCCAAGGAAACACTGTGGTCGCGTGGTAGGGCATTTTCTCTGAGGTCTTGCTGTTTCGATCACCGTGTGGAGAGGGTCGTGAGTTAACCTCTACCAAGACATTTCGACGACAAATACCCAGTCAGTAGATCCCGTTCGACATCTTTATATCTTCCTGTCACGGTGACCTTAATCCCTTACACAAACTCTCGTCACCGTTTTCATCTACAGTGGCCCCACTTCATCAACTTCCATGCGTTTGTGTACCTATAGACAAGTGCAATAAACGGGTGGGTCGCCTTCACCTATGGTACTGGTCCTCATTCCCCCCAGGGTACTTCATGTCGTATCGTGCCACGAAAACCAGCTAGGGGCCACGGTAAGGTCGTAACAAGGCCCCATATTTGTCCACACTTGGTGAGGTATTGTCTTGTACAGACTGGGGAATCACGACATCGGTGCCACCCATTGAAAGGGCACTGAAACAACCATAATACACCTCAGCCCAAGTGAAACTAATCAGAACTTCGTAACCGTTTCAGGGCTCTGACATGTTATCCCAATCACATCAGATAAACAACTAACTGAAGTTCAACAGAATAAAAGCTTACTTATCTGTTAAAAAAGGTGATACAAGTTATCTGACACGTCCAATGCGATGTAAAAAAGATTTGTGCAGATCAGCTCTCGTCAGTATTTGTCGGAGAAGGTTGGCGTGAAATAGGAGTTTGGTGCACACGTCGATCTCGGGGTTGAGGAGGCAGCTTCTGTCGATTACTACCCGATGGAGGAAGTGGATGGGGCACCTCGTTGTCCCTTCCCCGAGGAATAAGACGACGTGGAAGCGCAAAACCCTCTCCACCCGCGACACTGTCCACCGTTGACAAACTGCTCATCGAGTTTGATTGGCGAAGTGCAACGCCTGTGGAGGGACCCCGGGTGGTCGTCTCCCCACTGTACCGAGTGTAGAAGCCGTTGAAGTCCAACCTAAAATAAACAGAGAATAACGAAGGCATTGGGCGGCAGGATGAAGGTTTAGTTGAGCCAAGGGTTTGTCCAGTACTTAATTAAATGCGTACATCATTCCCAAATAGGTTAAATGGGAGCAATAAGCAACAGTCCATCTCCATAGCAGCCAAGTGTTAAAGACCAATAACATGGCTAAATAGAGGCTAATATATGCTAGGGAAAGAGTAATTCATAAAAGACGGTGAAATACATCAGACTTAGTACATATTTACAATCATCGACCAGTTTGTAGACAGTTGCTTTGTCGGGTCTGAAATGTTAACAAATCTGTCTTTCATCGCTCGCGCAACCTGCAAAACGGAACCACCGAAATACACTTTGGCCCACTTTCGCATTGGCACTCGTGTGTTCGGTTTGTCAGCCTCTTCTGATGGGCGTGTCGGCGTTTTGTTTGAGGCCTTCTACCCCACCGGAGTTAAAATTGCGAACGTTATATCGTGTTTTTACAAGCGTGGCAGAGGGTTTACCTAGCAGCGAGACTAAGGAGCTTGTCTCTTTCACGATCAGCTGGCCGACGGATCTTAAGGAGCAATTCAACAATTAGACTGTTGAACTTCAAGCCGAAATCTTCAACTGCAATGGCAAAACGTTCACTCGAGCCGACACTGTTCAGGTCCGATGCAGCAACCTAAAAGATTTAAAAATCTGTTGTCAACTCAGGAATCAAATAGCTAAGCATAGACAAGAAGTATCACTTGTGTTACTTCTAAACCATATCGCCAAAGATGGGAGCATCAGACATAAAAAAATTGCACGTTTCACCACACTGGGATGGCCGCGAGTCCGCTCCTCAGCTGGTTGGTATGCACGGTAACGTGTCAGGAGAACGGCTCTCAAGTGTGCATCGCAAACGAGCACCTGTCAGTTTAACATTGACTTCTGGTGCGTGCATCAAAACCGTGAGATGGGATTCTTTGACCACGGGCTTTCCGTGAACCCTGCTGCGTGAAAAATGCACCAACTATGCTTTATTGGCTAAGGAGCACACCGTGAAATAATACGCGCTTGTCTGACAACACAGTGGATACCCCTGCCACAGGAAATGACATGAAAATGATAGATTCCACTTTTCTCCACACCCGACTGGGTACTTAGACGGGCAGCAATCGAAATATGGTGGAGTAATAAGTTGGCAAACGACCCTCCATTTACCCATGACTTAGGTATTAGCAAAGATTTTGAGTTGTGAGGAGATAAAAGTGCTCACCCGTCTTCTCACGTCAAAGGTTGACCCGGTTAAGGAAGAACCAGTTTCTCCACGAAAAAGACTGGCTGTTCCACCTTCACTACTAGTCAAGGAGACATGTCGTTTCTTGCCTCGGATCAACGTGGGACCAATGCTGCCCAGGGAAGAGGAGGGCGAGACGCCGCGTTTGGCGGCGCTGGCCGAGAGTTGTATTGAGGCGGCACTGCTCATGGGGAAGCTTTCGAGCGTGTCGTCCAGACTTGCATCGGCGAGACGGTTTAGACAATTGGCGAATTGGATGCAGACGGCGTTGAGTTTGTCCACAAGGGCGAGCAAGTCGGGCGAAGTGAGGAGACAGTCGTCCATGCAAATTTCAAGGCATCGTTCATGAGCCTCCAGAACCTCATCCAAATTATCAGCCTAAATGGTGAGCCAGAGGTTTGCTAGGATACAACCAAAACGTTGGCTAAGTGTTCAGTACTACACAATTTCTCCTTAAACCTTATAAGCATTACTTTTGAAACAATAAAAAAAAGTGAATGACATGAAGGAGCAAGAAATAGTCCCTTTAACATGCAAATATCATTGCAAGCGAAATAATTACTACTAAGGAACTACTGGTATTTCCAATACTCAATTATTCCGCGTGCACATGACATGTTTTCCTAAAGTCTTTCATGTCATTAATTATTTAAAAATTTTTTTAAAGACTGATTGCAACGACGGGTAAACCAAATAGAAAAAAGCAGTAGCGGTACATAGGCGATTGTCACGGCTCAAACTTAAAACGAACTAATGTTCGAATTAATTGGGCATTAGTAGGTTTACCAACCTCCATAATGAATCCATAAGAATGCATAAGAGCTTATCACATTTCCACCTGCCGTTTTGTGAAAAGTACTTTTAGCAATGAAATAGAACTCTCGGTTGTTCAAATTGCTGTGGCCATTGACTTAACTGATCCACAGCGAAATTTTGTTTTGCGTTTGTCGTTTAGTGATAAAAAAGCGCATATTCAGAAGAAATTAAACGTGGACATTCAGGCTGATCACACACTTGCCTTGTCTAGGAAGTGGAAGAAATTTTGCCAGTTGGGTTCGATCACCTCAAAGGTCATATAGTACTGGAGATTTTGAATGTAAGTGAGCATCCGCTGGCCGAGAATAAAGGCGTTGTTAAAGGCGAGAGCCGCCGCGGTGTTCGCGCGACGAGCCGCCTTTCGCATCGCCCACGACCTAAAACACCGGGAAGCCGCCAAGATGAGCAAGGCGATGTGACTTGTACAACTAAACAAGGCTGTTTTGCCATAATTGCAACACCAGTGGCGGTAGTAGGTTAACCAATAAGTCAGCCAACCTGTTTTGATCGCCTTGGAAGTCCCGAAGTAAAACTGTTAAAAAGATTTAAAATTGCAAAACAAATCAGAGCTCGACGACTTACGAGGAGAGATGGCGTTCAACATGGCGGCAGTAAAACAGATGGCGGAAGAGCATTTGGTAGCGGTCGATCACGGGCCGATTTATTACCAGAGCCGTCGGCCACTCAACTTTGTAGTCAAGAGAAAAGGCCTCTAACGTGCTTGGATCCATGTCGATTATAGTGTCGACTACAATTTGGGGATAATAGAAATAGTTTAGGAGATTGGCGTGATTTGAAAACGTCTATAATTGACCTCTGCTGTTAGAAAGATGTGCTATTTTCCTAACAGACTGCGAATCCACACCAACGTGGAAACATCGGTCTTTCTCAAGTAATGTTGCTGGAACGGCGTGCAGCATTCTTGAAAATCAATTAACCTGAAGACGTCACTTCGCCCAAGAGGAGTCACGAGATAAGGGTTGCTACCTTTTCTACGGATTTCATTTACACGAAATGACGTGATGAATGAACCCACCTTTAAGGTAAATCGAATTATGCTTGATTAACCAACATGCAACAATGCAACGAAAGGCTTAACGTGCTCGAGGTCATGTACGAAAGGAAAGAAGGTAGTGTGTCAACTTGACACATTGTTCCTGAATCTAATAACCCTATCAAAGTATACGGAAGTGTCACATGAAGAGAAACCGAAGCACCATTAAACATACCAAAATTGCCACCGGCAGCGACATGAAGTGTCAGAATTTGTGTTATCAAATCACAGTTCGTGCTTGCCACCCTAAAATGAAAAAGCGAAGAGGTTTCGACTACTAAATGGATGTTTTGAAAACATGCATCAATCATCATGATTTACTAGGAATGAAGCCGGAAATTTGAAAGCAAAAGTGAGTGCATATGTGATAAACCGTCAACCTAAGAAACAGTTACGTCTAGAGTCGTAAATACGCCGTTACTGGCGAACCCGAGAGACTGGTACTCCGATGACTTGCCTTCTACCTTAGACAGAAGCAGCGAAACGCACCAGGAGCAAAGGTGACTTTACGTGATGCGAACGTTCTTGCAGATAAGGCGTGTTGTTCGACTAACTAGCTGGTGATCACGGTCTCGCTTCGACGGTGGTATTTTTAGTAAAATTCACGTGAATTTAATCAAACCTGGACGGAGACTAAGCGAGCAAAGTCAATGCCTGAGGTATTAATAGAACTTAATATAAGCCTTGATGCTACATCAGGCACGATATGGATTTCCACAAAAGGATAAACCTAAGAATAAGGCTAAAAGTTGCGTTAATTATAAATCCTCACTTCAAGTTTTCTTTGTAAGGGTCAGAATCAGCTGAACTAGTTCGCAGCGCCCATTCAAGAAGCGAATTGAGCCCACTGATTGATACCTCTAAAAGGAAGACATGCAAAAGTAGAAATTATGATTACATAGCGCACATATGCATCTGTGTATAAAGAACAGTTAATTTACGGGATATTGGTTTCTTCAGTTCACTGGCTGCTGTATCCATGAAATGGACAATAAAGTCTCCCTGATCAACCAAAAAATACCGTTTCATCGATCTAAAATGGCAGGATCAAGTTTTATAACAAAAAGCCAAACATAACAAAGATGTATTATTATCATAATTTCTAGGAGTGTATTAAGAGACTTGCTGAGACTAAAAACGGAAAGCGACATCGAGTTTTACAACGAACCAATTACGAGGCTTTCGGTCAAAGTAAAAGAAGCAGGTTGAACCGGAGCAAAAAAGGATGGGTAAGCGTGCGATTCCAACAAGGATTAGTGTATTATAAACAGAATTTCCTATCCATGAATTCACTTTGGAAGTTGTACCTTAGACGAAAACATTAGCCCTTAAATCCCGAGTTCTTGGAGTTCATGCGGTACACCAACAAAAACTATTTCTTACTGCAATCCCACAATGTACCAATCCTTAAAGGAAGTACACTACTTAAATAAGAAGATGCGAAAAAAGTTAGTAGAGCAGATAGACTTACTTTAGAATACCCTTGAGATCTTTCTGTTTGAGAATGAAGTCCAACAGAGTCCGGCTAGCAAACGCATGAGCTCGATCAATTTGACTTAAAAAATCGCTTTCCGTTTCACTAAAAACAATGACTTCCGGTTCGGCAAGCTTTAGAGAACTATCTGCATCCAAATTAAAAGAAAGGCGTGATAATGCATCACATTGACGGCAGCATCATGCTTTAGAAAAAAACTGGACGGCTACAGAAACCACGATGTAAATACAAAATTAACAATCGTGCTCAATCGTGGTAAAAACAGACTGGCATAATTTTTTCTAAGGTGAATAGTCCAAAGCGAAGGAAAAGCCCACACTTAAAATGAATACAATTTAACATGGGAGGTTATGCAGAACGTTGTGAATACTGATTAAGAGGACAATCTGGACAGGGTGAAAGTGACGAAGCTTATTTTTCAAACTTTTCACCTCCGACAGCTCCAGTTATTAGCCCTCTATGGCTTCAAATCAAAACGACTAGTAGTGCATGGAATTACACAACCTCCTTTACTGCTCGCAAAACCGACCGACTAAGAAGTCATTAATTCAGTAATCGAATTGGAAATGGCAACACAAATTCGTCATGTTTTCAGACGCCTGCGTGTTATTTGTCCTCGTCGGTTTTTCTAAATGGCCAATCATTGATTGAGAAACATCATTTAGTTCGTGAGAGCATGACTTAAAGAGTAAAACACGAGTCATTTTGCAGAAATTTGCACAAAATTTAAAAGGACATGGCCATTAGTAACCTTTGAGACTGCCCAAAAAATTGCGCACAACAGCAGCAGAACTAGGAATAACAAAAACAATAAACTGGAATGCCACTGAATAAATTTAGGAGCTCAAAGAGGACGGCTAACATACATGGGACTACCCATTCATCAATTTACACGATTCAGCAACACAATTGGAATAGAAGGTCACTTTGGAATTTGCAAATGATTAAGAGTAAAACACAAGTGTTCGGTGATCCAGTTGAAAGTGTCCATTCTACTAGTTAAATTCAGTAAAGTAGCGGAGCGATCCTTACACTTGCAGAATGTAATGAAGCTATGGGATCAGTGTTTTTTAAAAACACAACCAAAAGCGAAAGTTAGGCGTGGAATGAGATCGAAGAGTTGTTGACAATTAGTGGAGAGGCTCAGACTAAGAGACTAGATTAGGATCTTAGCATAAAAGTAGATTGCCGTAAAGCGAATGTAGGCACACATAGTCGTAGGTTTGTCCTAGGCCACAAAATTGACTGGCGAGGCTCGACCGCAGAAAACAACCATTTCAAGTTAGATGAATGAAAGTGTATTCGTAGCACAGCTACGAAAGTGTATTAATGATGTCCGAACTGTCACTTCGAGATCCCCCAAACGTGGTAGATAACGAGTTACCAACGTGAATCCAGCGATCATGGTAAAACATGCTTTCGAATAACCGGATTCACTTACTAAAACCTGCCTTACGAGATTTAAATCATGTTTGGTATGAAGGCTTTCAAAAGGTGAAACGGTTATTTTGCGCAACCGATTCAACGCAGTGCTTCGATTGCACTTAAAAGGTCGCCTTTATAATTGACATTTCAAAACTCGGTCGATCAGGGTTGCACTAACACATTACAGGGTCTCGGGACCCGTTAACGATACACACATCCGACATAATTTCACTCACCACATTGTTGCACCACATTAAGATACTTCCCCGTCGACAAAATCTTTTCGGCATGAGATTCCAAAAAACCAGGCAGCTGGGTCCACACTATAGAATAGCTCCGCTCCCAATAGTAGGCCGAGTTTATATAATCCCAAGCAGTGTCATTTTCTGTTTGGTGGTTTGGCGTAGGCACAGACGAGGGTTTTACGATAAAGAACTCTCCTCTTTCGGCGTCATCTGAGCGAAGAACGCCCCTATAAATCCATCGACTCAAGGACTCAAAAAAGGGTTCACAAGCAGACCGCATCAGGTACACCAGACAGTCATGTACTTGGCTCATAACAGAGGACTGACTGCGGAGGCTGTCGTAGAGAAGAGACAATGTGGCACCTCCCACGCAGCCACCTGTGTTGATGTTTGTCGCTATTTGGGCAAGTTGACTAAAAAGGTAGCCAGTCTCCTAGGGCAAAACATGGAAAAACAAAGTTACTAAAACCAATCGGTTGATAAGACATATGCGTCCTTCATACCGGGACCTGATGGGTCAAAAGAGATAACGTGCTAAAATTACTGGACACTGGGAAGTGTCCAATACGGCCACACTTTTCGGAACTGCTATTTCTTGTACAGTCTCAACGATGGCAAAGAAATTAACACAGTCTATTTGTAAATTAAGTCAAATCTACCTTCAGAAGGAGTAAAAGCCGTGAAATCCCCAACTGGTTGGAGCGATATTGGACCTCCAACTGACACAAGAGTTTCCAGTACTCCTGAAGAAATTGCTCCATTGCCTCACATAGTGCCTGATTCACACGACCATATTCGTACCGCGACTTCTCTACAATTAAAAATGTTCAGTCATCGGGGCTACGATTTGGGAGCCAATATTATGCAACTACATGCAGCAATTTGGATTTACATGGTACTTAAGCTAACGAAGGGTGCATTTCGACCTTTGAATTTTTAGAGATAAACACTTGTTCGATTAATTGCACACTTATTAAAGGGAAATTCAAATATATGTGCAGACTAAGTGACTTTTTAAGTGTCTCTATAATCCTACCGATTAAACTCAGACGCCTATGCGAATAACCTGCACTGATTCAATGAACACATTTGCAGTTGAAAAGCTAACGTCTTGTTTGTATTAATTACCGGCCAGTGAAGCATTCCCATACACTTAATCGTAAACAGCATCTCATGACCCGAAAGCAACATAAATGCAGCAAATGAAGCGAACATAAGAAAAAAGGAACAATGAAGAAGACAACCCGAGTACGTAAGCGAAAACGGATATGTAGTAATCGCTTATCTTTATGGAAAGAAATCGGAACTTAGGGATTTTCCAAAACGAATCGTACCTTCAATAAAGCGGACAATGAGCGAGTAATGCGAAATCATGGGGACAATCCTGTTCACGGTATCTACGAGGGATGGATCTGAAATAAAAAGAAGTAATGGGTTTCCGAGGAAAAAGTGCAGAGGAAAAACCATGCAAGTTAGTCTTACGCATCTTTTCGTCTACTGCGAAATTCCGAACCGCGTGCGGATCTGATATGTTAAGGGCTTTGATGTAGACTCCATCAATACCCTAAGTAGAGACTGACGTAATACAACGCAAAATAGGAAATAGGGTCAGTGAAGGGAAAAACATACCTGTAAACAAGCGAGAACATCTTGTACAATGAGCTTTTCTTGAGCATTTAAAGGTAAGGTTTCCAGTGGGAGGACTGACGGTATCTTGTAGCATAAAGAAAAATGGTAATGACTAAATGGCGAACAAGAGGTTAGTAACACCCCGACCACAACTTCACGAAATGCAAAAAGGAAACGAATCTAGGGCAACCAATCGAACTAAGATTAGGCCTAATGCTTGGATGCAGACCATCAGATATACAAGCGCAAAAGCGGGTGTGCAAGTGACCAGGTAAACACCCTTGCCGATCACAGTAACACTTCAAGCTGACCGCATTGAGTAAGGAAATGCGTGCGACTCTATTAAATATAACATGTATTTGTGTTAAGCGTACCTTGCCTGTCAAAAGTTTGTCTGGAAGGAAATCCATCGAAAGGTAAAACGCCTCATACATCCACTGTGGGAAAAGCCTCGATGGCTTTCGACGCTTTGACTTGGAATCTTTGGATTTCGCTGTGGATGTAGGTACATCAGTGGCGTCGGAAGTTGCGAAGGAGGCATAATAATGGGGCAGTTGGTTAGAATCCCCAAGTTGTTGCGAACCATGATGTAAGTGCTGAGTATTTTCATCAACCATGAGGTTACTGCCTGTCAGTTCAGCGGCACGCAATCCGCCGGTGGTGACATTTGAATTGCTATCTTGAATCCGCATCTGCAACTCAGTGACCGACTGCTTTGACAAAAACGTGTACAGAAAGGCGAGAACAGCATTAAATAATAAAGAAACAAATACGTAAAAAGTTGAAGTTAAAAAATATTGACAAACCTCAAAATCATGCAAGTCAGAAATCTCACGGTGTCCTTCATGAGATTTACTGATAATCTTAAGTAACTCTGGATCACGTTTTATTTTCCCAAGCAGATAAACCAGTGGGTCTAGTTCTCGTATGCTACATGTCTGATGGAATAATGTGGATGATGTTACTTTCGCAATTTAAGTTCATTATACTTCGCTATAAATGCTTTCCCTTCGGGATTGCTGTCACAGATAATTTTTTTTGAGTGGTCAACGTTGATCTAGGGTAAATTTTTAGAAAATTAAATCACAAAACCTGTGAGCTTAAGAGTGGATTAATTGTTTTTTCTAATTGTTCAGCGTAGGCATTGACTAGTGCGCGATCAATGGGCCGGCCACTACAAATGAAAGCCAACGAAGAAGACCTACTAAATTGCCTGCAAAATTTTATTTGTGTCATGAAGAATGGCACTTCTCCTATCATCCATTACAGAAATACTACCTTCAATTAGCTTAGGATTCTAATTCACCGCCAAACTTTAACAAATTTATTCGTTAAAAACATGCAAGGCAATCATAGGATTAAGTGAAACTTTTATTTCATATGTTATGTTGAATAACTTGAAAATGTGTACCTATTAGGGTAAAAGGTTGACATGATTATTAAAAAGGTCATAATGTCCAAAATGTATAGTTCAAAAAAAAACAGGAAAAGTGGCCACTAAACAATTCATACATTAATTTCACATTTAAGAATATGAATTTTATCTTGATTGGTTAGGAACAAAGTGTCTTTGCACATATGCGTGTGAACATATTGCGTTAGACATCAAAATTAAATCATAGAATTTAAGCATAAACGCACATAAAATGTGGGATAACATTTGAGAATATCATGACAGACAAGGCATTTGCCAGCCCGTAAAATGCATAAGCTAAGTCCAGTATTTGCAACTACTTCACAAGAATTAGGCACTAAAAATATTGTTACCAAATACGTTATACATTAATTAATAACGCTTTGGAATACGACTCAATTGGGCAATCTGGAGACAAATATCATCAATATTATAGCGCCGCTAAGCTACGCAAGTGTTTAGTTTGCAAGAGTATGTGTTTTTAAATAAGCCACGTAATCAAAACCAAACGTTGAAAAGCACAATTTCTGTTTCGTGAGAATACATCACGTCGGTGTTAAAAGATATAGTCCAGAAAATTACCATGTTAAAAGAATACGCAAAAAACGTAAAAGACATGGTTTGCAATTACATGTTATTTACAAGCAAAAAAGTAATTTATCCTGTTTTGCTTACTATGTTTCAAACATTACATGAAAGTAAAAAAGTCGCATATGTTATAAAAACGGCAGTGTTATTAAAAAAACTTACAATTTTAGCCAAAAAAATTGAACATAAATTATGTTCAATAAAGTCTGGTAAGCGCGAAAAGTTCGCGTTTAATCAATTGCAAGTTATTCTACTCTTTGTTTAAGCCCGCCGTCACATCACTCGCGTGTGATTTAAGGTAGGATCATGTTTTTTCTGCTGACAATGATCTAATAATTAGATGGTTCATTACACTAGGTTTGTGCAGGTTGGAAGAGTCGTATTTATTACGCACGGCCCCTTCGAAAAGAAAATAGCTGTGATTGTGGATATTATTGACCAGAATCGAGTTCTTATTGACGGGCCATGCTCTGGTGTTCCTCGTCGCCCCATCAATATTAAAAGGTTACATTTAACCAAAATTGTGATGAAACTCCCTCACAAATGTGGGACTCATGGTGTAGCAGATCTCTGGCATCGTCAGAAGGTTGACAGGCAATGGAACAAAACGAAGTGGGCCCGCAAACTTGAGAAAAAAAGAATTCGTGCAAGCCTAAATGATTTTCAAAGGTTCCAAGTAATGGTTGCCCGCAAAAAGGTAGGTTTTTTATTAACATTGTCTGTGATGAATCGAAGAGCCGTCTGTCTCATGGTGATATCTTGTTTTCTGATCTACCCATTTCTGCTACTTAAGTGGTCTTATCGTATTTTAGCAAAACCGTGTAATCAGCGGATTCCGAATGCGGAAATCAACTCTGGGAACTTTGGCGAAAATGCGACCAAAGAAGGCCTCAAATTGATTGTATTAATAAAGCATTTGTTACGTAGGATTTGCACTCGTTTGTACTTTCATCGCTTTGCGCCGTTGGGAATGTCTGCTTCCAGGCCGTTTTCAAACGAATCCTGTTAATGAACATTCCAAAATTGAACCTGCGCAAACACACTTCATTGCGCAGGAACACTTCGTTATTTTGGTCGCAGCACTCTGCAATAGGTAATGTTAATCTTGACCTACTGGTTCTGAAGTTTGTCGTGAATTTCCGCTACAAATTTTCTGATTCGGGTCGTGGTGTAGGCTCCCATACCAGTTCCTAAGTTGGTTGTCGAGGCTGTTCTACCGTGTCTTGTGTGTAATCGAGTGTTAGTAATTCGAGTCCAAATTTATGCCCTGGGTGATTGCCCTGCTATTCGATTGCGACGATTGACTAGCGAACCCCAGATTTCTTAGCCGTTACACTATGCCGAAGAAAAATAGTTAAAGTCGGCGGTGGTTGGAGACTGTTATTTGTTAATCACATAAAGGAGTGAGTCAAACATTTGGACATGCGTTTTGTGAATTATTTTACGAAAAGGAACTGAAATATGTGTTTGTGCAGTTTTGGCGTGGAGAATATGTAGAAAGCTGGGTTCATAGCACGCTGTCGTATTCTGTGCTTTCGCGTGACATCCAGTCTTCGATTTCATCAACGGTGCGTGGAACGTCCGACAGTACTTCACAACCACTGTCCGTTATCAACACATCCTCTTCAATTCGGACCTAGATAAAGGAATAATTGAGACAATTCGGCTTCTTGCTATTATAGGCAATAAGGATGCAATAACTTACTCCGCCAAAATCTGCAAATCTTTCGAGGGCCTCAGTGACTAGGAATTTCTTGAGGTGTGGTGAGGCCTTCGCCTGATCAATCAGACGCTTTATAAAATAACAGCCAGGCTCCACAGTTAGCACCATATTAGGCATCAGATTCCTCGCTGTTCGCAGGTTTCTGAGACCAGGTTCGGCCGACCTTGGAGGTGCACCCTTAAAGATGGATTGTTAAAACAGCGTGGGATTAGTTTCATCTGTCGACGCGTCATTTAACTTTATTCCTAGCATATACGCCCCCTGACGTGGCTGTGGTCGTGGGATGCAGCTTTGGCTTTGATAGGTATATGCCTTCAATAAGTTATCAGCGAGATGTTTCATCGAAAAGAGTGGTATGTGTCTAGATTTTAAAAACTGTGGAATATTTCTCATCAATTTGCGGAAATATTTGGGCAAGGGCTAAGAATCCAATTTGAGATTAGATGGTGGGATACCTTGGTATATCCGCCGACATCATGAACGTCACATCCCATGAGGTGACCCAGTCCGTGAGGCATAAAAGTGGCGCCGAGGCGGGCCAGCATCATCTCGTCCACGTCACCTTGCAATAGACCGCCTGCCAACATTCGCTCCAGTATCGTCTTTTCGGCCAATTTGTGCATTTCCAGCCAGCTCACGCCAGGGCCCAGGCAGCTAGTCACAGCCCTTAATGGAGTCAAAGGAATTAAACTGCAAATTAAGATACTATGGTCTTTATAGTCGAGTAATATGTTCACTAACGTGACTGCTGAGAGAACAGCGTTGTAGATTAGGCGTTGGTCGGCGGTAAATTTACCATTTACAGGGAAGGAGCACGTGATGTCTGAGCAGTAACAGTAATATTCTCCACCCATATCCAAGAGACACATATCTCCGTCTTGGATCAAATGATCGTTTGGGGCACCGGCGTGTCCATAGTGGAGTACAGCACAATCGCAGCCTCTGAAGAACCAAAAGTGGCGGATATTTTGAAATACGAGTAGATTCAGGGCAACGTATGACAAATGGGCGAGCTAGTTACCGAAGAAATGCTACGAATCGAAAGACACATCGGAGTGTGAACCTTATCGCTCCTTAAGATATCGGGAACATGGGCAAATGCTATGGTTATCAACGTTAGATTACCACTACGATCAAATGTGTCATGAATCCCAAACAGTTCCTAAAGGCCTTGACGCCTAGTGGCTCAAGCGGTGTAGCTATTGTATTTTCCAGCGTGTGAATTCAGTGATGACACTGGAAGGCGGTGTTGTCAACACCCCGTTCTTACTGGTGTGTCCGATAATTTTTGATACGAAACAAGTAAACAAGGCTCTTTAACGCACGTCGCAGCAATACAAGTGTAGGCGACGTGTCGCATGCCGCCATAGTAGTAACAGTAGTGGCGGAATATGCTCTCTGCTTGGAATTGAAACATTCCTGGCTTTATTTTTCGCATGAGATGCCGATGTGCCGCCGAACTGATCTTCACAGCGTAGCGAATTACCTCAAGTTCTAGAGGGCTCTTCGTAAGACGACTACAATTCACAAAAAATATTTACGCCACACCAGTGCCGACGAAAGTAACACCAGATTTTAATGAAACTTAACGACCGAGAACCGTGGAAATTAAGGTCTTCTCTCTTGTGTCTCTTTTCAATTATCAGCCTTTTTCACTATCTGCAAATTACCCAATTCCTGGTCCACATTTAAAGCGCACATCATTTGTAACGTTCAGATGGTGCGCAAATAAATACATTCGTCCAATGGCAGACTCTGTTTGTGCACACAAGAGGTCTCTCAAATCGGCGAGGGAAACCCAAATGAACTTGTGCTGATTTTCAAATGATTTTGTTACAGTTGAAAGACACGGAGCAACCACGTGTGAACGTTGTGGGCTGAACCTCACAAGACTTAAGTCCCGAGGCAATTTGTATTTTGCACTGTGAATAAAAGCCAAGGGAAAAATAAATCCCACGTTCAGTTGTTTTCGCATACGAAACAATTTAAGTACCAAATGCAAAAAAAGTATGGTACATTATATAGTATTGGGGAGGTAAATCCTAAAATAGAACGTGCAAGCCGTGTGAAAGATAAAAAAGTACTTAAAACAAATATAAACATTAGTAATGTTTATCCAACGGAAAATGTGCTAAATAACGCATGAAACACGACACCGATATTCTTGTGATAACTATTCGCGGGCGAACACCTACGCGTTTGAACGCTAAACACTTTCGTCCTGTTATGATGCATGCAAATAGTCGTTTCACTACACCTATTGACAATGCTCCATAGTGATGCCGGACCATGAACAAGACTCAACCACAGCACTACATTAAGTCGTCATAACCTTTGGAAATACCTGAAAGCTCCAGGTATTTCTAAAATGACTAATACGACTTTCTTTTAAAACACGAAAGCCACGATGGCGTTACTCTATCCGTCATCGAACAATTACTAGGAGGCCTCTTGTGGAACTCAAAATGTTGGCCTTCATTAACCAGGGAATTAACTAGAAGGTGCAGCATAAGGTCTGATGGTGATTCAACAAATTTTGGTTATTAGAATCTATTACTGCGAATTATTCAGCTAAAAAATGAAGCGATACCGCCAGAAACATCGAATATAAATGCATGGTTAGTTGTTTTGGCAATAAACTGCAAACTAACCAGCTAAGAAGGTAAGGGCACTCGAACGTTCGACAAATTTACTCGATTGGGTGGCCAATAAAAGTGACGAGACACACTAACTTAGGTTATTTCATGATAAGTTCGACAGCACAGTAAACTTGGATTTGCTTTTGCCTCTCCGAAGCAAGAGGGAGAATGGAATGGAAACGTAGTAATCGTGGAAAGTGACCGCTGATAGCGGGCAAGACCAGATTTGAAAAAAAAGATGAGTTCGGGTATAGAATCGCCTACGTCGAGGTGACTAGACTATAAACAGGGGATGAAGGTCTCGGAAGCCAGCTGTATGGGGCGAAACAAGGACAACAAGGGGTCCTTTACCCTACAATGTTGAAATTGCTTTACACAGAATGCGCTGCTCAACTTACCACTCAGCCATTTCATGGTGGAGGATGGTATTGTTGATAGTAAACCTAAATTTCGATAAAATATCATTTGATGAAATTGAAAACAGCCTTTGAAACTTACTTTATCACAAAATTGCATTTGAATAGAAGACACCAAATATTCTACCGGTAGTCCTCGTATTTACTAAAGTACTCAAATTTATGACCGTTGTCTGTAAAGGGAATTAGAGCCTTTATTGATCATGGAAGTCATATTTCAAGAAAATGCCCTCTGAGAGCCGAATCTCCCAGCGCAACTGGGCGAAAGTCAGCAGGCGAAAGGACTTGATAACAACTGACCTGTTGATTCCCTCAAACGAGGCCTCCAAAGTAAATTGTCCACTGTCGGTATTAATACCACGCTAAAGAAACGTCGAAATGTATATGAAACTGCAAAGAGAGGGCAAAGGTAATACGGGTGCCTGACTGGGGCGATTTACAGTCTCTGCACGAAAGAGGAGCATCGCATAAGCAGAAAAAATGGTAGAAGTGCTAATATGAAACTCAGCTTTTTGAAATTTCGGCGATGTTAGAGGGCAAAAAGTGGTTTAAGTCCACCATTATAAGAAAACATGCACCACACAACATAGTCAATTTTTAACAAGGACAAAAAGCATCTGTGATATCACAAGACTTTGATATGGCGGGAATTTTACGGGCGGACTTACCAAAGTTAACAACATAGACGGTTTCTTCTGGGAGAAAAATGCTGCAATCTAAAAAAACCAGAACCACGTGACTAAAACATGTAAACAGATAACAAGATTACAACTAAATCAATCTACCCAAAATAGACAAAATTTGAGTCAACTTACGCCCTTTTATCCTAACAATACTGTCGGACAATATAATCGGATGCAGTTATGGTGTGGAAACATTGTTTATTGTCACGATTTATGATGTACCAAATATATGCCGGAGGCCTATATGACACTGCGAACAAAAACTGCAAAAAGTTCAGATGGGGTTCCTTAATCGCAACCAAAATGATGATAGGGTCAGATATGAAATTTTTACTCATAAGATCGTTGGAACCCGTAGGTGTTTACCGACAGTAAAGAGCAACTTATGTCTCAAAAATACAAAATACAAATGTATATTTTCAAGCGTACCTCGTGTGTATAGTGTGCTTCGTCCACGCCGTAGATGTGGGAAATTTCATCCAAGTGTGGTGGTTGACCCATATAAACAGCAGCAGACTCCGGAATATGTGGGACAAAGAGAATCGTGCGCTGAGTTGCAACCTCAATTGCACCAAACCAATCAGGCTCCAAGCCTCCGAAGGTCCAGTGAAAATATGACTCCTGCAGAGATTACCAAGCCATTTCGACATAAATCGAAAAATTTTCAAGATAGTTGGCTCCAAGCAAATTTAAGTTACCAACCTGCCGAAATACTATCTCGCAATCTGAACCTCCATGAGATACAGATGGACCACCTTGGAGAAGAACGTAAACGCCATCAAGGCTCCGTGAAGGGGCATCGCCGGTTGACCAAAGATCAAGCAGCCGCTTGCAGAGTTTTGCTCGGTTTTGTTTGTGGAGATCCATTGGTACGGCCAAACTATTGTTGCCCACTTTAAAAACTCGCTCCATGACGCATACAGGTTCTGAGAACATGCTTAACAGTGCAAAAATAATTATTACATTTTTAAAAACCAAAAAGCATTGACATGAGAAAGCAAATAATATATGTGTTAAACTTTATTTAAAACCATTTGAACAAAATAACATGGAAATGACCGAGCTAAATGTGAGCTGTATCATCGTGAGAGTCGTGTACATTTTGCTCACACAAGAGAGAATTCAAGACGATTTTATCCTGGTCAAGTATTCTGAAATAAACACTCTCAATGAAACTACAGAAAATATTACTTTAATGCAGCTACCTCTTCTTGGAATTAATTGCGTAATACTTCCTCAAATCAAGAAATGTTAAAAGATGTAACCGGTCATCTAGAAGACAAACCAGATATAAATAACGTCAACGTCAAACCTGCCGCAGGGTTGTCCAGTAAATCCTTTGAACTACCCGAAAGAGCTGCATAAAAAACAAATAGAACTTGCCAATACATAGCGCTAGCATCATTAGTGCAAATGTCATTCATTTCAGAGTTTAACCCCACAACACCAACACCAAAACCGTACAAAAAAGTGTTTTTAAAAAGATGCTTGAAAAAAATTATAATTAAATTAGAACAATAAAACACTTTTGAAAAAGGTTAAAAATGTATCCTTAGTTCACAAAAACCTTTATCTAGTACCAAAGCTACCCACGAAGAATTCTTTTCTAGGCCGAAAATTTTAATTTATTGGCACTTTAAATGTTTTAACTGTAATGATTTCGGGAAAGTATTTTAATATTTGTTCAAAAAGGACGTGAAATACAAGAACAATAAATAAACAAACCAACGTGTGATTGCATATTTTAAAAGAAACAAGGACAGCAGATAATTTTCTTTCCATTTAAAATATTTAATTGGTATATTTTAAAATCCAAATCACTTAGATGATCAACCAGATTATCAAAACGTGCAAGCGTTATTTGACTCAAGACGGCACAAAGTCCATGTGGGATCAGGACAATGACGAAATCATCGCCCGAATGACCGATTGCATTGAGGTCAATCTTGCTTACCAGTCTGCCTATCGAGCCACTCGGGAGGAGATGATTCAGTCCAATGAAAAGCTTATATTCAACTTCTCGGAAGTGCAAATATTCGGCAACATGAATCTCTTCACCCAGCGTCTTGATTACCTTACAAGGGTGCTCAAAACTTTGAAGCAATATTCGCTAATCCGTGACTTCGTCCTCGAAGGTTCGTCAAGTTCTCGTTCGAGTTCCAGTGTAAAAGTGTCTGTCATAAAATAGACTCGTTCGCTTTCTTCGTGGAAGTTAAAACCAGTGCAAGTTTATGAAATGCGATAGCCCCCATAATGGAGCCCAAATACCAGCAGGGCGATGCAGCTTTTGTAAGCCTAATATTTAGGAGTTCTGAGGAATCACAAAAGGAAATATGATTTAATTACTTGAATTTACATTAAGTTCATCACATTTTTTCACTCTCGATGACAAATAATTTGTCGGATTCGGCGGGATAAAGTAAAGCCTCATAGTTTTTTCGTAGAGCTTAAACACATACTAGTATTGAGTGGTTCAAAGTTCATACCCGAATTTCAACGGTGAAAAAAGTCTCTACGTTTTTTCGGTGTTTTTAATTCTTAGCAGGCAATTAACTTATGATTATTGAAATGATCATTACACATGATAACCATAAACTTTGCATTTGCTTCAATATGTTTTTGGTCGTGCAAACAAACATGTTGTGCATTAGGTAATTTTTAAGCAACCTAGCCGTTACAAGTCTGAATAGTGAACTCTATTTTTGGTATATCTCTTAAATCCGATTTATGCCCTGATATGACTATTTAAATAGAAACTTTTTGGCAGCATTTGTATCCTAAAAAGTATAAACAAAGCTATACTAGACGTAATTTTATAATCTTATTCGAGCTGTGGCTGTTAGCTTTTCTTTTATTAATTTTTGGAGAATTGTGTTTTACTTTTCTGTGCTGCCCTCCATTTCCCTTGAGTTTTTATTCGGTGTTTGTTGGCGTTTCGGTGGCTTCGTGAGTGTCCTCTGGCCTCGTGATGGGGTTAGTTATGCATAGTGTTGTGTTTGCAGAACGTATGGTGTATTTGTCTGAATGATCCTCAGAGCCATCCTTAAAGCCTAGTTTACCCAACCGAACGTGCTAGCACATTTAATTAGGCTACCGGTTTGTGTTGCCACGTTCGACAGGACGCAGTTTGTACCAGTCGTTTTGGTGGAAGAAAGCATGAAGCATAGGAGGTTTGGTTCGACGTAAATGGAAGTGTAGCTCTGCTTCTTTCTGCCAAATATGGGCGCCTTTTTGACTTCGTGCATGTCGTTTACATCCCCCCTCAAAGGTCCCACCTTGCCTCATAAGATGGTTTCTCATTTGTTTATGTGCAAACCGTTCTCGCAGTTGATTAATCCCCAATATGTGTTAAGTATTTGCTTGATGTGCACTTGTTCACTGTTTCGTATTGTGGCATCGTATCGTTTATGGCACCGGACGCCTAATTGTGTATATTTGAGCTCATCCGCTGTCTGATATTTTTCAACAGTTCAAAGATTACCGTATTAGTTTCTAGAGTGGCGCTTTTGTCGGATTTAATGTCCTTTTACGAAAGTAAATGTTTGGTTAATGTTGCGATTAGGTTTTTACACCACCTCACCGGAAAGTGATTCAGAAGTAACCGGGTCGTTAATGCACGCTTATTCCCTAAATCACTAGCACCTATTTAGACGGCTAGACTATCTATTGGAGGTCGATGTAAACTCATCTTATCTGCTTTTACATGACTTTGCTTCACAAACGTCTTGTTGTGTGCTTCTATTTTTCCTAGACCTTTTAATGCATTCACGAACATGGATGATATTTTAAGCACTTACCTTAGTTGTTCTCTAATTGACCTTTCTTTTATGTAAATCAACTCTTATGTCCGCTCTAAATATTGGTCAAGTATATCATAATGGCTAAAACCATTTGACCTCCCGGTCCCTCGACACCCAATTGTTTAAGATGTGATCATTCTGTACGTTATTGACTGCAAGGGAAAATTCACCGAACCCTCAAAAACCACTCTGCATTGTTACTTTGCAATCTTTTGTCTTGTTATTATGCGGGTAAGAGAGTTCCTCAGTTTGTATTAGACTCTTCTTTAAATCTCGTGTATATAAATCTTGTGACGATCTTTTTAGTCTATATGGAACTGCAACGTAGACGTCGTTTTTAATATACCCAGCCATGGGATGAGAAAAGGCGAAGTTCAGGAATTAGTTTGTTTCCCCATAATGTTTGGAGGATACGGCTAGTTCCGATGAAAACTCACCCTATCTCTGATGGCTCTACCTTTGGCATTTGTTCCAGTGCAATGTAACAATAATGCTGTTGTAATTTAATTTTAGGTATCATCGAGTACTCTGGTGAGTCCTTTGATTAAAAGTAAAAGGTCTGAATAAATGTGGTCGAGATTGGTTTCTGTTTCCGGTCTTCCACTTTTTATACCTGACGTACATGCTTGCTGAGGATCATGATTTCGGCGACTTCAACTTTTTAGGAATAAAAAATGAACTCCTCAAAAATGGTTTCCAGTTGGGTAGAACTTGGACCAAGTCCGCTGTTTCCCATCTACACAACAAACTCATGCCTCCACACAGGTGCGCATTTTATGGGCTCTCTGATATCACGGTGTAAAAAGTATGCTGTCGACGTAACTCTTCTGGTTGGGTTCAGTTTTACCTAATTGTCTTCTTATTAGACGATCAACTTGTCGGCGAAGAGCATTTGCGGATTCATGAAAGTCGAAAAGACTAATAAGGACTCGGAGACTCTTGAAAATGTCGCCAATGGAAAACCTACCATATCTTATTTTGATGGCGAAATTATTAGCCGGCAGTTCCCATTTGTGACGGGAAAGTGGGGTGCTACCATCGAAACGGATACTAACCACTGGGTAAGTACGCGATTTCCTACATATATTTGCTACAAGAATGAGCTCAATGTGATGGCGCGCTTTCCGAATTACTACAGAGATAACTTCGATTACTCGCAGTTGGAAAACTTTGATCATGTATACATGCGGTGGAAAGAGAAGTTTATTTTGGGAGAATCAAGCAAAGCTGATGAGAAAAAACCACCCACAGGATTTTATTACATTTGCTTACAAAAATCTACCGGTGAACTGACAGGTTACTTTTACAACAAAGCCTCTGAAAGGTTGGACATTCTGGCTTTATTCGATTACCACATTTTAGGTTGCAATTGTTAGAGTTAAAGTACGAACCCCGTCCAACGTCGACCTCGTTCCTCATTCGTTAAGTGTGTATTTGACCTTGAGTACGTTCATATGTGGTAAATTCTTTTTCAGTTCATTGTCTCATTAATAAAAATTATGTATGTTTTGACTTTTCTCACCGGTCGCCTTCGGCTACTATGTTGGTGTTTTCGAATAGTCACTATTTTGCTTCGCGTGCACTGTTATCAGATCCTTTTTTGGAATGTTTAGTGCATAGTATTTTACGCACATCAACATTTTGGCTGGTAGCTGAATTGATGCCAGTCTTAACTGACTAGCTTTCCTTTTGTGTTTATCTCTGAGATGATAGTGTGTGGCGTGCGTTAGTCATACGACATTTGTTCCTCGCACAATGTGTGTGCTTTAGTTATCCGTCAAACAGCAATAGGCGCTTACGATCCCCCGGTTTCAACTAGAAAGCGGAACTCAGTTCGAGTATAATGCTACCCTGAACTAGGGAACAGCATTAAAAATGGGGACAGGGGGCTGTGCGATTTCGCCGTCGGACTGAGACTCAGAGTGCTTTTGTGTCATTCAGTGGATTAGGTCTTCCCATATGAATTAACGTGTAACAGAAAGGGCTTCGACACGGGGACCTTAGGCGGTCGAGGTGGCCCTCGCGCTAGTGAGGGAGGGATGTTGAGGTGTGTGCGAAATGTGGACAGTGAAATTGAGGTGATTGCTTGCCGGGAGTGTTTCACGCGGTAGGCGTCAAGTGGTGCGAGATAGGCTAAAAACCAACGTGCAAGGCAAAGAGATGTATGCACCTTACTCCACAGTCCATTCATAAGCTGCTTTGACCAGGGTTCTAAATGGTCAAAAATATTGCATTCCAATGAGTCTGCGAGTTGTTTGTTTAGTCTGAGTTAACATTGGTTTGATAACACGAGAGGAATCATGCCATATTAAAAGACTAGTTAGCAAGGACGTCTGTCCCCTCAGATCTCGATCTCAGCCTGTGGGTCTGATTAATCATGTGACTTGGCAGCTTTAAGTAAATATAGGTTGGTTTCTTTGTCAATGTCACCCAAGTAAAATCCCCCGTCAAATATGCGTCGGCGATATCTGTTTCGACTCAAGTTACGCTATTTCTATTGATGTCTCCAGTCAAAATATTTCATAAAGCTAGTTTGGGTCCAGGAGCAAAATAGATTCGCAGTCAATAAATCTTCTTTGAAGTCTGAGTGACAGAAGGACTTCCGGGAATGCGGAGGAATGCTCTACTCCGGGAACTCGGAAGTGTAAGGTTCTTTATATCCTAGTAGTCACGCGTATATAATATGATCTTTGCCTTGTATAAATCGTTGCCACTTGAACGAAAGCAATGCGTGGACCACCGTCCCTCTCAGGAGTCCGTACACTTACATAGTGTCAAGGCCTTCGGTAGTCGAATGGTAGCACCTAAATCGGAGCGTGTGCGAATCAACTATCACCCCAAAACACTAAAATTTATTCTGAATGTTCCACCGACTTGATCACTCCTTACTCGTGAACTTCCACACGGGAAGGTGGGGCGGTACGACGTATAGCGATAAATGGATAAGCCAGATTGACGTTGAATTGATTTAAAGCATATCACAAACTTTGCCTGGATCTCTTTAGGTGGACCCAATGTACATAGTTCAAAATCGGTGTAAACATCAGAAATGTGCAGTGATATTTGTACGGGAAAATATACGACAATGGAGCGCAACGTTTTCTAACCTTGGCAATTAATTTGTTCACCACTTCTGTTGATGCTCGACTGGTTTGGGGACTCCACAAACACAAATTAAATGCGGTCAAAACCCAATATACACCACAAAGTTATCTCTCCAGCCACGGTCGAATTCAATCGATTTGTCGTAACCACAAAGTTTTGTCCACCGAAACAAGTCGTGAAGGTCTTCTTTCTGTGAACGAGAAAAGCGATGATGCCATTGCACGGCGATTGCAGTACTACAATGATAGGGTATTGAAAACAGTTATTCGTCAGTGAGATTACAAATGAACGTGGTTGAGTTCGAAATCCTGGAGAACGGTTGCAGACTCTTCTTGGGGCAAATTGTGAAAAACCCACCGATTCCTTGAATGGGTGCGGTACCACTTTATGGGTGGGCGTACCGAACTGCAGCGCACAGATGAGCTCGCCGACGTAGATCGTGGCTAGAAGACTCGTTACGAGGAAGTCTTATGAATTATCTTAGTAGTTTGACACATCGTGTGTGAGGGATACCTGTCTACAAGAGCGCCTTCTAGAGAAACCCTCTAAAACGATGATTCCTACTTATAACCAGGGGTAGAATACTTGTATTGGTTGTTCTTGTGCCGGATATTGTAAGGACAGTTTATAAGTGCACATGCCAATCAACAACCCATAAATTTAACAGTTGGAACTTTTTTTTCTCTTACTGGAATCAATACTTAAACATTACTGTAGAAGCTCTTAGAACAAGTATTGTGGCCTATCTTATGGCGTTTTAGACATTTTAATTAGGTAGCCTAAATTTTAATCAAAGAATCGTAATATAAAATCGCTCATTTGAAAGCCAGCTGATCAGGTTGCTGTGACAGGATGCAGTACGAAGTACCGTGGGACAGATAGAAGAAAGGCGGAGACTCGTGTGCATGTTGTTTATGACTAATGAAGGCTGTTGACAGGCCAGATCAGCGGTACGACTAACGAGGGTGCTGGTCATGTGGACAGGGGTGGTTGATCCTACGCGCCCTCGTCAATGATGGGAATATAGTGCCGGAGTAAATGACAGTCTAGTCAATGAGCGTAAATCAAAACGGTTAACGACATGTTCCTCGCCGTCGTGTACTGCCATGGTTTCCGAAGGCTGGGGGATTAGTCGAAATTCCAATTCAAATATCACGTAAATGATAATCTCGATTTTTTGAATTGCTTTGTAAATCTTGTCAATTATGAAATAACTCAAGTTTCTGGGAAAAATTCAAAATAATTTGATCTTTATGGGAGTAAAGATCAGTTAGTCCACATGAGGGTACGCATATTGTCGTCGGGTAAAACGGCCTATAAAAGTAAGCAGATAAGTTGTCGATCATGGCATCAGCCGGACAATCTCGATGTGGTCATAATCAAATCGAACGTCTGGAGTTTCGAAATGTGCCAGGAGTGTTTTGCAATGTTGATGAATTAGAGACATCTGACAACTTACACAATTCTAAACTCATTGTTGGATGACGTAGCTTTTCGATATGAATTTCATTGCCGTTGCCTGGTCTGGATGGCCAATAGCGTAAAGTGCATATAAACTTGTCAAATTACCACCCTTGTAATTTGTTTCCTTTTTCCATTCGAACTGCTTAATTGAACTTATCCCAGTTGCAGAATTATTCTGCAGTTAAATTTTTCAATGACATAATTAGAAAATATTTGGTATGGTTATTGTGACAACTTCCGGTACCAAAATGAAGAAGAGGAAAACCAGTAGGTAGGAGAATTGACAGTCTATTTAGCCAATGCATCAACTTGGTTATTGTCTTGTGATTAGTTACGCATACAATTGCGTGTAGGAATGTCGGGAAGTCAGAGTTCCCCCAATGTCTGTCTTAAACCGTTAAGAAAGGAGAATGACGGTTTCTAGGAGCACCTTGCAATCGTCAATCGGAAATACTAAAACTCCAACTTTGGTTACTGAAGGGTGACAGGTTTAAATACCTTATTCTTATTCGCAGTCTTAAAACTACAATATTAGCAGATACTCTGATTCGATTGCTCAACCTTTTTGAAAAGAATCCCTCGGCGAAGCTCTACGCTATCGGCGACAAGTACAAACTCTGGAGCAATCTTTGTGTGGAGTTGATTTTTTTGTGCTTTATATCTGCATTTCGAGGGCCATCCTACAGATTACTAAGTTGGGTTGTTAAAACATAATTTCGTATGGACCAATTAAATATTTGTCTTTCTTCTCGTATCCTCTAATTCTTGGTTTGTGAACCGATCACCTGTTCGCGTGTGTTTGGGTAAATTGGCGACCTTTTAAGGTTAGTTTAAAACTCGTGTTAAAATGTTTTAGCTGAAAGTGGTAGAAGTAAATTAATGCAATGGTATTAAATTAAAACCAAAGCGAATAACAAGGAACAGGCACTGTTGAATAACGATGTTAATTTATTGTACAAGTAAGACCCTACAGAATGGCGACTGCATGACCCCCCAATTGATGGGGGACTATTTGATGTCACACAGCAGCGCAACAGATCGTTTGATCCAGTGGTCTGGATTCTTTGTACAATTCAATTCCAATGAAGTGACATAGGTGAGGTCCGTTCGCCTTGGTTTCCTGTAAACGGGACACGTATATGGTAAGCGCCCGCCCATTGCTCTCCTTCCCTCCTGTACAGCAAACAAGTGGATGACTGGCATTGATTCGTAAAGAATCTTGGGTCTAGCCTCGATCAATCGGCTCGATCTGCGCTCCCAAGCAGCTCCTTCAATGTAGAGACCATAAACGTAGACACCCTCAGGTGGAGGATCCTTCAATTCGTCTACGTTATTCTTGGTCACGTGACTTGCCAGTATGACCGTGTCCAGAGACCAACCATCATGAAAGCGACTCACTTCCTGACGCATTGCAGTGAGAAAGCCCTGAGGATTAAAAAATCCAGTCATCCAGAATGCCAGTGGACGACCCTTTTCAAGCCACGTCGAGAACTGCGTATTCCTCTCAAGCAACTCCGTAAACCAGAAACCGAGTGTTGTGGAATCCCAAGAAGACTAAAGCGCAAAATCAGCGGATTAAAACTCAGCTAACATCCAATTATAAATCGCCTACCTTAATTACATACCCTAACCCAAAAGGCGGGAACTTTAGCATCATAGATGCAGTCTAGCGCATCACGAAGATCTTCGTTCATAATAATCGTTCCATCAATGGCAAGGCGGAGATCAGTTAGTGTTGCAAGAACCAGTTTGATAGCCTTGTCCATCCTCTGAACCTCCTGTCGAAGAAAAATGGTCATGGGTTTCAGGGCTCCAAGAGCCTTTAGCTGATCTGCCACTTGAAAGCCCACGTAGGTTGGTGGGAGCTTTTTGAGCATTTCCGTGCAGATTCGGTGGACAACTGATTCACGTGTTTCAACTTTTTCTTTGGCCCCTCCATCCTCGTTGTCGTCCTTGCCTTCTCCGCCACCCGAATCCACTCCAGAGTCCTTCGGTTGGATAGAAACTATCGTTGTAAGAATTTGGCGTGTAGTCTGCGTTGAATAATTAAGTTCGGCGTTAACATGGAGACCGAATGCCTCGGGACTGTCGTACGGCGGCAAGCTATTCTTTATAAATTGCAGGTACTCGGTAACAGAGTTGAAAAGTGGGATGGGATAGCGTGGAACTATTAAGTATTCCGGTGAAAACATGGCTTCCTGAAAGTTGTTGCGAGTGAGGCACTTGAGCAAACGAAGGTCGTAGTCATCAGTGACCCTTCCACCGTATTGTATTTCAGAAATCATGTAGCAAACACATTTCCAGTCAATGCCCTACAAAGCAATGGATAAGCTCAGAGGTGGAATGACTAATTCGATTGTGTTTATTACGATCTTTAAATGGCCAAAAAGTATAATAGGTGGATTGGTTAGTCAGCATTATCTTTTCTGAATAAGTGGTAATTATCAATGCACCGAAAAACTGAAAGGCAGAAAAAAACGATAACAACAGTTTTTGATTTCGTTGAAGAGTCATCGTGGTAATTTTAACCTAAATAGACTATTTTGGAATTTGTTGGTAATGAAGGGTCGATGTTTTAAGGTTATGCAGGAAAGCTGACAAGATCCATTGCATGATTGCATAGTCTGTGAACCACCGTAGAATTACAAAATATTCTGGACGCGGATTCAATGAGACAAACACAAAATTCAAATGCATAAGTAGTTTTCAAATTCATTATTTCATTTCTGTTAACTTAGGGTAGTAGGAAGGGCAGCCACTGGGAATTAGCCAGCACTTACGCTTATTTTTTGGCCTTTCTTGAATTGCAAGCTATCGAGATGATTCTGCACAAACTGCACACTGGCATTGAAGTCAGACTGATTAAATTCATAGGGAATACACCAGCCTAGAGGTCCGTACTTTCGTCTCTCTTGAACCGTACAATGGAGATAAGCCAGTGAATAGAGCATGACGCGCCAGTGGTATGTGACGCAAATCTCCAAGAAGTCCTGAGTGAAGCTAAGATACGTACGAGTAAGATTGGCTTTAATGCCTTCGGGTGGTTCATTGGTGAACTTAATAGCAATCTGGAGGAAATTGATCGGGAACTTCTTATGTTCTTCTGTGGTGACCCAGAGACGAAAGCGCTCGTGGTAAGCCGGTTTTGGGGGTGGAGGGGGCGGGGCATCGGATCCAGGGGCTCCGGCACCTCCCTCACCTGTTCCTCCTCCCTCTTCCTGGGTTTCGCCACCAGCAGCAGCCCCATCTGAACCTTCCTTAGGGCCACCTTTGGGGCCGCTATCGCCCATACTAGCAAGAGTCTCAAAGAGCTCAAGCACGTAGTCAATACATAGATGGCAGTTTTGCAAAAGTACCCAATTCCCTTCAACGAGTGCTGCTTTAATTAACCGGCGGGCGTGAACCTCCTGACCTTGACCCATTGAAACTACACCTAAATTAATCTTCAATTTACGTGCTGTCTGTTCAACGAAGGGAGTTGGATCAGCACCCATGCTGAGAAGACCGCATAGTGGTGTCTTTGCATCCGATTCCTTGAAAAGCCTAGGATAACAAACAGGGTCTGGTAAGTTTGCATGATGGAAAATAGCGCACTAAACCAGAACTGTCATTCGTACTCAAATATATTGACGGGGACGTCTTCGATGAAGGGTTGACCGAGGGAGTGCACAATGTACTTCTTAGCTTGTTGAAGAGTTCGGTCAGGACACCATGAACGAACTAGAAGAAGACGACGAAAAACGTCAAGGGTGTGCTCGTAACCGCACGGAATCACCTCCTCCTCAGGGGCTTCCTTGTCAAACCACTGTCGCCACTGTTTCTCTGTGCCGGTTACCTGTTGAACAATGGTAGTGAACTCTGTGAGCTTGGAAAGGGCGACCAGATTGAGCCATGTAAGGTCGGAAATCCATTTTCCCGGTTTCGGAGGACACATTTTCAGATCCAGTGCAGACCCTCCCTGAAAAGAGGATATTAACACCCATAAGCAATTTTCTTTAAGGACTAAGAACTGAATTTTATGTGCACAATTTCTTGTAATATTTTGGTTTGCCATTTGTTTATAGCTAAACTAATATCGATAACTTTCCACTTCATGACTGTCCAGAATTTCATTTGGTCATACACTCTCACATTGCTAACTAATTCACCAGTACTTACCAGCTTTCTTGCATTCCCTAAGAGCTTTAATTAGAACTCAGACGTATTCTCAGATTTAACCGATACGTCATCAATTGATGCGACAGCAAGAATGCAACGAAATTCTTTTTTTGTGATGTATTTGTAATGCTATGCTGACGTTTCCAAGTAAAAAACAAGCTTGGGTTAGTTGTTTCGATTCCCTTACTCCAAGAAAGTACTCAAGCCCAGTGTTAAGAAGAACTTCCTTACCTGAATGAATACCATAAATTCCTCATGTCGGACTGCTTTCCTCTGAAGGTCAATGCGAAGAGCTAACATAAGTGTGGTCATTGTCTTATCCAGTTTGAACATGCCACGAACAGCAAAGGCCCATATGCTGTAGGTCATGTACTCAATTATGTTGCTGATTCGACGAGCCGTGACAGCAGTCTTCTCAGACAGCTCCATCGACTCATCAAATAGCTTGAGAAAACGACCGAGACCTGTCTGGTACATGGGATTCACCGCGGAAACTTCACTAAGAAGGAAATAGAGGAGGGAGCCGCGAGCTGCGATGGGACGGTACTCTTCTCTTGCTGCAGTTATTTCAGTCTCAGTCTCCTGTGCCAAAGCGATCTGCTCAGACACTTCAATTGCTGTGGTCTTAGTTGTCTGCAACATGTCAACTAGACCCTGGTCGTCAACCAGTGATCCTTGGGTGCTGGCAAGACGTTTCAGCAAACTATCCTCCAATTCAAGGATACGTCTCTTATTTGCTGTCATCTGCGCAACCAATTTTAGCCTCATTTGTTCCAAGTCCTACGGAGGAAAATGGTCAGAAGAATGAGGAATGTAATTTTGAAGCTGGTCAAAAGTGATTTGGTTCTTACTTCTTTTTCTGTCTGTATAACACGGGCTAACAGCTGGTCTTCCAAACCCTTGCTTGTGACAGTGAAGTCAATGACTGAAGTCCTGGCATAAATTTCAGGACTGTAGACGGGATTGGGTAGCTTTGTTGTGATATAAAGAGTAAAACCCTTGCCAATATCCACCTCCTTGTCTCCAACTTTGACCTTAAAACCACTACCAGATTTGAGGAAATTTTTATCCAAAATTTCGTCGAGAATCGGATCCAACTCTTCACCAATGTCCTCAATGAGGAGTGGCCGTCCCTGCGACAACGCGTCCTCTAAATGTGTTCTAAAGTACCTATGTTCCAGTGTGGTTACCTGGAGGGGATGAGAAAATAAACTTAATTTTTTTAAAATATTTTTCCCATACGAAAAAATTCAACAAACCATCATATCATGTGCAGCTTCATGACTTATGATCCAGCTTTTTCCTTGATTCTGTGGGTCAATTAAAAGTGGATATCTGGAGGCTTGTGTCACAATGATCGCATTCTGAATGGACAAGTCATCACTAGGAAGTCCCTCTAGGTTCCATTCAGCAATCTGCAATGGAAAAAACAAAATATGCAACAGACCTACAAGAGAGAACGGTGAGTTTTTACGAATCTGCTCATATTTGGATTGATCAATTATTGGCTAAGCTATGACAACTGGCTCGACACCCGTTCTGTGTACACTAACTTTAGTATCTAGGTAAGAAGCTCCTTGGGTTAAATGAAAATTATTCACTAGTGTTTTTCCACAACCCCTTGAAAGTTCACATCGATAATGTGACCAGGTACGAACTTTAAGAGGCTCATGATTTATGTGAACACTTAAATGAGCAAACAGGTAGCAACATTAATAATTTCTAGGAGCACAGCTTTCGGATGTAGTTTAGGCGCATCTCATCTAGCGATTTTTCGAGTTGTTGGTTAAAAAAATATGGACTTCAAGTAGCCAGCCCATTCAATTATAATTAGGTGTGGAAACGTACCGTGGGGCCATCCGTCAGCATATTAATCAGATCGAGATTGTGAGTGTGGGGAATTTTCATTTTAATAAGACTTTTCACCCAGGAGTTGGTGGTTTGGTTTCGGAAGTCCTGATTAAAACATCCGCAATACGAGAGGAAGGCTGTAGCCATTAGAGCGTCTCCTACAAGACGTGTGACTTGCCCACCAAGAGTCCGAGTCTCCTCTGTCCAGCGAATTTTTTCGCCCGACAATCCATCAATAAGGGTTGTCGCTGTCGCCATACGTCTTCGGCAAGATTCAGCATCATCAGCAAGTTCCTTTTTTCTAGCCATCGCCTTTTCAAATAGAGCACGCACAACAGCGAGCTGGCCTTCCTTCTCCGCTAGAAGCCCTTCCGCTTTGGAAAGATCAAGATTAGCAGCATTAAGCCTTATTTCCTGCTTAGCAAGGTTGTCTTTCAACGGAATAACTTCTCGATTTATCCAGTAGAATTTCTCCATAGCCGTCGTCCAGGCACAAAGTCCTGCAACGTTACCACATACTTTTTTTGCTGTTTCCAGATTGTAGTCCTCAGCCATGAAGTAAGGTTCCATCAAATCAACAGTCTCTTCTGTGATATAATCCCTGGGGAAATTTAATAAGTTTTGGAGGAAATTTGTGTTAGCCATCAATTTTAGGGAATCTGCCCAAGAGGGTTTCATGCAACCGCGTCGGTCGGGGTCCTCTTGGAAGGGGAGGAGCGGGCGTTGAAACAGAAGCAAGACACAGTCCATAATTCGCATAATCAAGTGCGGAGGTTTGGCCAACTTACGCACCGTGGCGATATCGCCAGGTTTGATAGTATTTAAGGCCGCTTCAGCCTCTTCTAACGCCGGTCTGGCAGCTTCAAGTTTTTCTTCTGCTACGGCTTTCTCAGCTGCAATGCTAGAGACAATTTTTTCGCATTTGTCTTTGACGACCAGCACCTTGTTTTTCACCTGTTCGGCAGCCTGAGTTTGCTGCATCACGTCGGCTAACACGACCTCGGCTTCAGCATTGGCAACTTGAAGTTCTCTCTCTTTATCAACAAGCTCAACGCTTAATTTGGCGATTGATTCTTGGGCTTCATCTAGTTTCTGCAGGCCAGAAGACAAACGGCTGATTAGAGCTTGTATACTGGCAAATTGTTGGCTATAAACTTTGCTATATCCACTGAGGAAAGAGATGTAAGACTTAGGTGTGACGTGGGTTGTTCGGCGGTATCGTTTAAAGTACTGCTCACATCGGATAGCAACGTCGTCGTGAACTGTGGCGACAAGGTTGATGACACCAGCCTTCACGGCCGGAGTACTCTCAATATTAAAACTACCGAGGTACTGTTCGGCTACAGCCAGAAGAGCATCCGTGGGCCATTTGTGGAACCAGTCAATGGTGCAACCAGATATCAAACCGGGAAAGTAGAGTGCCCAAGTACGAAATCTTTCACCAATAGGAGAAAAGCACAGACATATGTGAAGATTTTTGCGGATGCGCTGGAGGAAGTACTCATAAAGAACTTCATTGTCTGGGGGTCGGCGTGGAAATTCCCTTTTCATTATGGGGATGAGGGAACCAAGAATATCGTCGATATCGTCGCGACTAAACAAACCCGAGACCTTCACGGAGTAAAAAAGGAAAATAGATATTTCTCGTGCAAAAAATTGAACATCAATTTAACACTGGCTGAACGGCACTTACCATACCAGAAGCAAGCATATTATTTATGTACTCTAGGAAAGCCTCATCCTTTACATCGGAGTCCGTGAAAATGAATGTAACTCCTTTGCCTTCCTGACCTGCCTTGCGATAAAGAACTCGCAGGTCTTCTAAGAAATCGTTCACATTGTAGGTTCTGTTCACACACAAAAGGTGAATTAGACGAGGCGGTCATTACATTATTAAGTCAGAAGTCCTATACAAATTGGTGGTGCAAACTCGAGCTACACGGTCCATCATAAGCAACCAGTGGATAACACGCTACATTCTCCAACAACAAAAAGAAAATTCAACATGTATTTCCCCAAAATTTCGCATGTTAATTATTTCCAAAGACATTGGAGACTGTTTTGCAACAGGCACTCCTCATTGATATAGATTAGTGAAATTTGTGTACGTCGACAATATCTTATTACTAAAGCCTCAGATTTTTCCAAGTATACTTTCCTTACCTTGTCAGAACTATGTTAAAGTCCACGTAACCGGCAATGTAGGTGGCGAGTCTGGTGACCGATCGCTTGCCAGAACCACCAACACCTACCAGGAGACAATTTCCACGAGGCGTCCTAATAATCCTTGAAACTTTAATCAAGTGAACCACTGCATCCTTGAAGAAAACAATGTCCAATGGCGCTGCCCGAATGTTTTCGTTCCGCTCTGTGAGAAAATTGTTTAGACGGTTCACAAGAACATCGTTTTCAACCTGAGTGCAGTGTGAAAATTATAGTTTTAAAATTAGATACCCTCATATTTTATAAAGTAATTTTCTTATCTTGCAATAGCTTAGGCACACAAAGCACATTGCACAAATGTTTAACGACCTAGCCTTATAATGAATGCCAAGAGCTGGGATAAGCTGTGGTAAAGCGAAACGATTGGGAAGGAACTTACGGGCTCATAGACCTTTGGAGCGGAGAAGTCAAAGTCCTCGGGTTCCTCGCCCGTCACTTCCGGTGCATCTCTAAACATTTCACGTACAAGATGGTCAAACCACGTACAAAATGTAAACTTGGGCATTTTACAAACATTTTGGTAGAAAGGTAATAGCTATGTTGACCTCGTTAAGACCTAATCAACGTACCCTCGTTAGGGCCAGATATCGCCTACTTTCTAATAGGAGGGATTCCGGTAGCATTTTAATGAAATTATGTAAGTGGGTGGGTTTGAGTTGTTAGTTTATGCTTTACTGATAGAAATACATCAATGTATTTGTGTAATAAGGTTTCTGTGAAAACCAACGATTTCAGCTTTGTTCAAGTTCTGCCACAGGTAGACCCAATTTCAACTTGCCTCATAAAATCGGCAAAAAGGACTTCTTCTTGAGCATGTGCGGCCATTTCTTCGCCCATCATGTCATCCAACGTCCGATTAAAATTCTTATCAAACCACTCGAAGTCTACTGAGTCGATGAAACGGTCTGCAATGACTCGAGTCATTTCATGCTTGCATAGCTTGATGATGAGATCGGGTCTAGTGAAGACCTAAGACAAATTTACCAAATAGAAGAAACAACGTGAGAAATTCAAGAGCTAGATAAACTTTACCTTAAAAGTGTAGAAGCTATAAAACCACTCCGCTAACTGACGGGACCTACGAAGCAAAGGAAGCCCCCTTCTAGATCAGCAAGGAGGCCCTAGAAAAGGGCTTGGGGCGAGATGATGTTGCTAGTTGCACTAACGGTTAAAAAGAACAGAACCAATTTGGCACGTGCTTCTGACTAACAATAAGAATTCAAAGAATGTTCTAATGTATTATTGGTTTCAGCTCAATGCAAGTTCAATCAGTCCAGCAATAAGGATTAGCTAGGGCGCACATACTAGACTACAGCATAAATCAAGCCATACGTTGAAAGGGAAGTTAGAATTTTGGCCAGAAACTACTGGTCCCTTTAGGTTCACTTTTGGCTAATTTTCCACCGAATCCAGGTTAGTTTTAAGATAAAACATGTAATTATGACAATCCAAGCAATGAGCATAACATTTTCGCTTAATCTTACTTTTTGCAATGCTTTGATCACTTACCATGACGAAGACGAATACTCACCTCACTAGTTCCATAGATAACGCCTTGCCAAATACGACTGAGATCACGCAAATTAAAAATGTAGTGGAATTTGGCTGGCGTAGGGAGCATCTTGACCTTAGTCTGCTGCCAAATCTTTCGCACAACCGGGACCATATCCCTAACAGTGTTTACCACCTCTTCGGAGAAACCGCGTTCAACACAGTAGTGACCCAAACCGATCGTGCTAAAGATCTTGTCTATCGAGGTGTTACTTGGCAAGGTGCAGTTGAAGCAGGTGAACTGACGCTTTAACCGCTCTGGAATGTCGTTGCGACCACCTCCAGGATGAATCATGGCAGCCAAAAACTAAATAATTGAAATAATCCATAAGGTAACGTAATAACGTGGGTTCCAATTCGGTATGGAGATGTTCTGCTTACTTGAACATCAACAATGCTGGTAAATTCTCCAGGTTTGTCTAGACTATAGAAGCCTTTCATTTCCATTGTTTGACGGACAATTTCATTTGCTACTTGGTCACCCCAGTCATTGATTGTTGGCATGCTGATATCGTCCACAAATACAATCATCTTTTTGCCAGCTGGTGGGCCGAATGTTGTACCCACACGCTTTTCAACGAAGCTCTCAATGGTTCTCTACAGGAAATTATGCAACAGCTATAAAGGATGTGGATAAGAAATCAAGCCTGGTCTTTAAGACTGGTGTACCTGAAAGAGGCCTGGGGTAGTGGCGGAGGAAAAGTTAAAGGATTTGAAGGTGTGAGTCTCCTTAGGGAAACTAGTCATGTATTTTGTTAACATGACCGTTTTTGCGGTACCTTGTTCTCCAGTTAGAAGGACGGCCTTCTCTTGCTTTGCAACGAGTCTGATTAGGTAGTCAGTCCGGATGTTGTCAACGTTCGGTACCAAAATACTTGAAAACTCTGGATCACTATCGATCGGGTAAATATAGGGGTCAATGCGGGTCGACCAGTGAGCCCACTTCCCTGTTAAAAAGTTTATATAGATTGGCATTTGTATACAGTTTAAATAAATTCAAGCCTTGACGACTTACCCGTGTTATCGACAAAGTACTCAAAGACAGTTTCAGAGTTGGCGTCATTAACAGATGGAAGATCCAGTCTTACGTCGAGTTCGGTTCGCCAGAACTTCTCTAAACGAGATCTGTCATCTAACTCCAGCAATGCTCCCAAAGACCACATCAACGCAAAAATGTATATTCGTTCCAGAAACACGTCCGTACCAGCTTGCTGTTAATACAAGGAGACCAACTATACGAGGCAAATCTCAAACGGACAGAGCTTAAAAGATAATTTACAAACCTGATTTTCAAGCGTCAATAACCCGTCAAGCAATGTACAGAGTTGATGGACAAAAAAGGCCTCCAAATAGGGCATTTTTACTGTAAGGTTCTGAGAGATGAATCGATAGCTTTGAGGGAATGAACTCTCAAAGAGTTCGTGGAACTTGCTCTTTTCATTTTCTGGTCTGTGATTCAGCCGAGCCTTAAGAACAAAACAAAAACACAGTGTAGATGCGACAGAGTTCGCCATGTTTTTCAGTCAAATGCAAACGGCTTTGATCAAAATATTCGTGTTTTAAGACAAACTTAATATTAAAGTCTGCACTAGTGTTAATATCATCTGTAGGAAGAATTAAGAACCTTTAAATTTATTAAACGCCACATGAATATTTAGATCTTCTCTTACCGTAGATATTGGAGACCAGTCAAGTACGGAACTGGACATGAATACCATGCCATTTCGAGAGACTGTGGCAGGCGATGCATTATCAATATTATGGACCTCGAATAGAATTTTTGTGTTTGGTGCCATTGGGATTCGGTCGCCGTTAGCTAGGGTCAGGGTCTTGTTGTCGTCGAGTACAGAATTAAGGTTTTCAATCCAAATGGCATCCACTGGGCCGTCAAGAATGAGCCATATGTGCTCAGTAACTTTCTTTTTCAGTGTCCTCCTCCAGAGAGTTGAGAAAATACCGTCCGTCCAGTCATTGGTCGCGACGTCCAGACGTCCAAACATCTCAGGCGCAGTAATGGCCTTCGGATTCATCCGCATCTCCTTGTGAGGCTCCCAGAATATCGACATGGCCGCCATGAGAGTCCTGATGCAAGCTGTTTTACCGGCGCCAGAGGGTCCAAGGGCCATCATACCGTGACGAACGTTTTGTGTCTCGTAGAGCTAAAATAGGCGCTACCATCAATCAGCATATTCAGCAATCAGAAGGAGGATCGATTCAGAAGAAACGGAAGGAAAAGCAGTGCTTCGAGAAAGTTTACATTATAATCCCGAGTCCCTAACATTGTCGTGCCTGAATATTCTGCCATCATTGCCAAAAGCAACCGCGCGGTAACATTCATGTTTTTTTTTAAAATTCGAACGTCTTAAATGTAAACACAGACATATTCGTTGTGGGATATTAATAATTCGGATTACAACTGACGGTGAATACTGTTCAGTGAGTCCATTTGCAAAGCTAGTATGGCAAACTGTCAAAACCGGAGCTGACGTTTTAAAGAATTTGATGCGATCTAGTAGATGACCTTTTGTGCGTAATTACCTGACGAAATGGCTAGATTCGAATATCCTACTTTTTATTTCATTCGGATAAGTAATTCTTAAGCGAAGATACGGTGGTTTGCCTACAGCTCAAAACATCTTGTGAAGTTTTGCATATTTTTGTGAGCTGTCATTGCAGTTGAGAAGGCCACGTTTTCAATTGCACAAAATGAAAACAGCAAATTTTTTGTCGCTGACACTCAAACTCACACCTTTTTACTCACAAGATAGTTTGCGCCAGAACTGAGTGAAAACATACATTGCCTAAATGGCGTTTGACCATTCGTTTTTAATCATTAGAATCCTTAAGGAATTTGTGACTTAGTAAAGAGAGTGTGTGAAGATTACAACATTTGCAACCATTAGTAATCACAATGTATCCTCACGACTACACAGAGCACGGACGAAGTCAGTGTAATCTGTAAGATATATTTTGAATAGCATTGATGTCTTTCTATAAAAAGAATCGTGGCCATAATTTCGATTGATGGTTGAAAGTCACTCAATTTTTCTATGTTCTAATTTAGACCGACCAAGCACTCGAAAGCTCTTGGCATGCTTAAATGTTGCAAGGCTCATTTCACATAGAACTGGAGGGTACCAAGATAACAGGTACAAATTCCGATTTTAGCTTACTTGAACGACTTTTAAATTCCAGGCAGGATCGTTGACTAGGTTGAATTGGTCAGCCACACCCTCTACAGCTCTCTGAAGATCTGGGTAGCTGTCCTTTTGTAGTGTGATGCCAGGGAAGAGGTCGTCAATCAGTGACATAAAGAGCGGCTCGTCTTGATCGACCAATTTTGACAGGTTCATGTCTCGAAGACCACGCATTACCGTGCGATCTTCGCTGTCGTCAGGATTTTTTCGACGTGCAGCACCCAATGTACGCAGCACAGACAGAATATTTCTGAGACCGAAATCATAGTGAACCTTACGACGGCAAGAACAAAGGTTAAGATTAGACTTGTGTGTAAAGCTGCTTTGAAAAGAAACAGCAAACACTTCAAAGCTGAACCTTAAGTGTAACAATGGGAGCAGGATACAGGATTTATCTCGGACGTGAAAAGCTGTTTGAGATTACTGAAGATAGAGTACTTCCTGATCCAAAGGTTTGTGTTGAGCTATTCAGACAATATTGCCTGAATGAAAAACTACCATTCAAGAGTGATTTTTTGAGCTGTGCTGAGGAGGAGGAAATTGCACTTCATAATTGGTTCAATCTTTGCAGTGTGGATGGTGGGATTATGGAGGTATCATCCATCATGAGCTTCTTGTGAGTGACGAAATAATCAACGCAGGCCTCATGCCCATCAATTGTGTCTACTTAACAAAGCACTACGGGAAGAGCGACCTCGTCCTTTTGCGACACGATAATACCCTTACATTACCAATATAGAAAAATTGTGATCTAAAGTCTTAAATGAGAAATTTTGCCAGACCCTCAATTTTCTCCAGACTTGGCTCAATCGAGTTTTCATCTTTTTATTCACTATTGAACAACTAACGCAATATTTCGTTTAATCTTGACATAGACATAAACCTGGAAATTCCTCATGCAAAAGCGTCGAAAAATCTGGCTGTTTGGAAGAAGTGGTGATATTGGTGGTCAAATATTAATAAATTTGCATCTTGCTATCAGTTAAGACCGACTTTTTCTGTGTACGTAAAGAAGTTATTTAAATCTAATTGACTTATACCCCGGCCCAATGAAATAATTTCGAGAACAATAATTTATACATGAAATGTGGGTGGTACATCAGACTGGTGAAAGATTTGGAACCATTAAGATTAATTGGTACTGCCAGCAATTAAAAAAGAAGCCACTACGAAGTAAGGTAACGAAGTGACAGCACTCAGTGACGTCGTGACATACGACAGATTAGAGAGCCGATATGCACCAATGGATGACTTCGTAACCTTAACCAGAAAGACCAAGCTTACTTGCTTAGTCAATTGCTCTTCACATAGTTTGTAAAGCACGAAGAACTTTCGAGCAAGAATAATATTTTCCACGAAGCCGCAGGCAGCCAACTTTACGCGGATGATGATCTGTCGATCAGGCACCATCATAGCCACACTGCGGAAGTTGATTTTCAAGTTTTCTGGCAGCTCCTGCCGACCGGCATAACCAGG